GATCAGCAAGTGCGCAGTGCGGATAGACAGCAGATATTTTTTATTTCACTGCATTAACGGATCTCGAGTTCTGTGAGTTCTTACAACGCTTTGTAAATCAAATCCAAAATGTGTTTTTAAAAAAAATAAATATACAATGTTTTAGATTACAGACTTGCACTCCATTGAAGTATTGCTCTATAAATGGCCATACTGGGTTCATTACTCTGTAACATCTGATGGAAAATTAAACCATTTTATTTCATGCAGGCTGTGTCAGTCACAGCCAGGGGAGGTGTGGCTAGGGCTGCAGAAACAGAAACAAAGTGATTTAACTCCTGAATGGCAGAGAATTGAGCAGTGAGACTGTAGGGATAAGATCTATACACCATAACTGCTCCAAAGCAGAGATAAGATAAAGTTGTTTAGAGTGCCCTTTGCATGGCATACGTACTGCGTTGGCCTACTGTCCCAAACTGAAGGAAGTGATGAGGAAGTAGTGTATGTCCACCAATATGAAGGGTTTAAATGGTATTAAAGCTACAAATAGTGAATATATAAATACGTTTTCTCCCTTGTTTTATTGTTGGATTACGTAACTCTGCACGAATATCAGGAAATAAATACGCAGCGGCAGGGCTCTGACTGCGTCTGAAAGCCATTCCATCACCTGAGGTTTTGAAACTCAGTACGGTGGCCAGCTCACGCAATAACCACTTAGACCGACAGCCGTATCTGGCTCAGCTTCCCTTTGGCTGAGAGGGTCCCTTCTTATTTCAAAAAATATGACAACAAAAGACATGGTCATCGTTGTACCCGCTCTCACCCCAATGAGCGAAACAAAGGAATCAAGGTCTAAAACGAAATTCCAGTAAACACGAACACGCTAAATAATCATTTTAAAATAAGTTTTACATTAACTCATGGAACAGAAGAACACCCATATACTCTACCAGACCTCGGCAATTCTTTCTCAAAAAAGGCATCAGCCATTTGCTACCAGGATGAGTTTAAATAAATTGAAACAAAACGTGCTTTGTGCATTGATCGTATTTATTTACTATCTAGGTACACGGTGACACTTACAGCTGTCACAACATATCCACTCAATAGCAATGTCTCAGCAAGCCCTAAATTATAACCTACTTATATAGTCTGCACTAAATTAAATAAAAAAGTGCAGCATTTCTAAAGACATTTTCCAAAAATTGGCACGGAAGAAGTACTCCGGACAACCTATTAACAGTTTCCATCTTTAATTGGTTCTTAGAAGCACATTCTCCGTCTACTAAAAGCTTCTCACTAATGACAATGGTTAAATGGCAATATTCTAAAAGAATGGCTACCCTTGTAATGTACAGAGAACAGACACATTATATCATTTGTTTTCCCTGTTCTTTAATCATGGTAAAAGATATGCCACAATCCAACTTACAAAAACAAGAGAAAACCATGGCCAATATTTAGTCACAGACAGATAAATCTCTACTTCTTCCTTCGTGTGCAGATCCAACGCATTTCATTCCCAGCTCTCAGACCAAATCAGCTCCCCCTGCAGACAGAGCGGAGAGAACAGAAACACATTTATTTACAAAATATTTCACCAGAAAGGATACATTGAGATTTCTCTCGTTTTCAAGTATGTCACAGAGGGCAGTTGGCATTAGACTTTTTAAATTTTTGCTGTGCCTGAAAAATACATGTTAACTTGTGAGGCCACGACCGCTTTCACAAGTGCAACGAAGAAGATAGATGAGGAATTACATGACTTTTACAGATTCTGCACATGCTACCATTGTCTAATGTAACATGGTTATGCAGTGGCATGCCCTGAAATAACAATGCACACGGTTTTATAATATTATCAAGAGGTACATAGCAGGAAAAAGATAGGAGTACTGCAAGAGTGAGGAGAGCGGCCGTCTCTCCCCGGCTCCACTCTCGGCAGGCCGCAGCAGGCTTGCCCAGGCACCCGGTAGCATAGAGGTAGCATAGAGGGTGTCGGATTTCTTGCCTGGGATCCCCCGACCTGGGAGGCTTATTGCGGTTGGCGCTGGAGGAAGTTTTCCAGGGTTAATATCCCAATATTTGTCGATGGTGCAAAACTCGAGCACCCCACATCCACTCTGCTTGAAGGTCAGGCTCCGCCCCCCGGCATTAGACTTTTAAAATCCGGTCTGAGGATTGTCATGGTCACATTACCTTTCGCAGGATCCCAACAGCTTTGCCAACAAATATTACAGCATTTCAGATTTTTGCAACAGTTAGAGTCAGTGTGGCACTTGGGGTTCGATAAGTGAAAGCAGCAGGAATTAACAAGTGACAAGCTTGAAATGGTCACTTTTAGAACACTCCAGACACCCAAGCACTTCAGCTTCTTTGCCTTATATGCCTGCAATTTTGTCATATTTTTGACAGTTTTTATAAATTCCAATTTCAAAAATTCTCACTTTTATAACTAGTCTCTCAGCCGCTAACAGTCACTCGTCACTAACAGTCGCTCAGACACTAACAGTCACTTGTCACTAATAGTCGTTCGTCACGTACAGTCGCTCAGACACTAACAGTCACTCGTCAGACACAAATAGTCGCTCGTCACTCAGACAATGTCATTATTATTATTATTATCGCCATTTATATAACGCCACCAGATTCCGTAGCGCTTTACAATATTATGAGGGGGGAAGTAACTATAAATAGGACAATTACAAGAAAACTTACAGGAACAATAGGTGGACGAGGACCCTGCTCAAACGAGCTTACAGTCTATAGCAGATGGGGTATAAAACACATTAGGACAGGAAATAGCAATCAAATAAGGTGGGAGTGAAGCAGAGCTGGAGGAGAGAGTAGAGTGCTTCCTTTTAGGAGACAGTCACTAATAATCACTCGTCACTCAGACACCATAAGTGTGCACACGGGGTGTGCCGGGTGTGCCTGGGCACACCCTAATCCCCGCGGCACGCCTATGGAGTGAGACCGGCAGGGAATATCTCAGGATCTCCGCCGGCTCTGCTCTCAGCCTCCCTCCCCACTGCAGCATGGAGGGAGGCAGGAGAGGACCCAGGGAGCTCAACCAGCAGCTCTGCCGGGTTCCTCTCGCAAGATCTGAGCGTTGCCGCGGCAACGCATAGATCTCGCGAGAGTGAACTCTATCCCCAAAGGGGCTAGAGTTCATTCTCCACTGGACCACCAGGGAAAGCAGCAGGAACAAGGATCCCCCTCCCTACATAAGGTAAGAAGGGAGGGGGGATATTAAGTAATGTACCCTCACCTCCACACCCTAATGCAATAGCCTGTGCACGCCTATGTCAGACACTAATAGACACATAGTAACTAATAGTCACTCAGCGGCAAACAGTCACTCAGTCACTAATACTCACTCAGACATTAAGAGTCACTCGACACTCAGCCGCTAATGGTCACTCCTCTTTGGAAAATATCTACTACAGATTATAAAAATAAAGTGGTCTCTGTACCTGGAGAAGGCTTCACACATTTCTGTCCGTCCCCAGAGACACAGCACTTCTCATCCGCGGCACAGTCCGAATCACGACTACACAGTACGGACGGACAAACCAGACTTTTCCTCTTCTCGGTCTCACCCACAGGACAAACGCCATGTGGCTCTGTGATAATCAAGGTAAATTCAATGACAATACAAGTTACAACCAAAGAACAAAAAGTTTTCAGAGAATCACGAAATATAATAATTTTAAGGTAAACTACAAGCACCATAGCCACTATAGGCCACTGTAATTGCTATGGAGCCTAAAGTGCCCTGGCATTCCCCCACAGTAAGGAGTCAGACCATTTTTTGATTCCATACCACGCGGCTCTCCATCTCCACTACCAGTGCCAGAAAACTGCAAGGCTTGCAATCTAAAGAACACGTTTCCATGTAATCTCCCAATCTGTAATATCCCTCTACATTCAGTCTCCCAATCTGTAATATCCCTTTACATTCAGTCTCCCAATCTGTAATATCCCTTTACATTCAGTCTCCCAATCTGTAATATCCCTTTACATTCAGTCTCCCAATCTGTAATATCCCCTTTACATTCAGTCTCCCAATCTGTAATAACCCTTTACATTCAGTCTCCCAATCTGTACTATCCCCTTACATTTAATCTCCCAATCTGTAATATCCCCTTTACATTCAGTCTCCCAATCTGTAATATCCCTTTACATTCAGTCTCCCAATCTGTAATATCCCCTTTACATTCAGTCTCCCAATCTGTAATATCCCCCTTACATTCAGTCTCCCAATCTGTAATATCCCCTTTACATTCAGTCTCCCAATCTGTAATATCCCTTTACATTCAGTCTCCCAATCTGTAATATCACCTTTACATTCAGTCTCCCAATCTGTAATATCCCTTTACATTCAGTCCCCCAATCTGTAATATCCCTTTACATTCAGTCTCCCAATCTGTAATATCCCTTTACATTCAGTCTCCCAATCTGTAATATCCCTTTACATTCAGTCTCCCAATCTGTAATATCCCTTTACATTCAGTCTCCCAATCTGTAATATCCCCTTTACATTCAGTCTCCCAATCTGTAATATCCCTTTACATTCAGTCTCCCAATCTGTAATATCGCCTTTACATTCAGTCTCACAATCTGTAATATCCCCTTTACATTCAGTCTCCCAATCTGTAATATCGCCTTTACATTCACTCTCCCAATCTGTAATATCCCCTTTACATTCAGTCTCCCAATCTGTAATATCGCCTTTACATTCAGACTCCCAATCTGTAATATCCCCTTTACATTCAGTCCCCCAATCTGTAATATCCCTTTACATTCAGTCTCCCAATCTGTAATATCCCTTTACATTCAGTCTCCCAATCTGTAATATCCCCTCTACATTCAGTCTCCCAATCTGTAATATCCCCTTTACATTCAGTCTCCCAATCTGTAATATCGCCTTTACATTCAGTCTCCCAATCTGTAATATCCCTTTACATTCAGTGTCCCAATCTGTAATATCCCCCTTACATTCAGTCTCCCAATCTGTAATATCGCCTTTACATTCAGTCTCCCAATCTGTAATATCCCCTTTACATTCAGTCTCCCAATCTGTAATATCCCCTTTACATTCAGTCTCCCAATCTGTAATATCCCCTTACATTCAGTCTCCCAATCTGTAATATCGCCTTTACATTCAGTCTCCCAATCTGTAATATCCCTTTACATTCAGTCTCCCAATCTGTAATATCCCCTTTACATTCAGTCTCCCAATCTGTAATATCCCTTTACATTCAGTCCCCCAATCTGTAATATCCCTTTACATTCTGTCTCCCAATCTGTAATATCCATTTACATTCAGTCTCCCAATCTGTAATATCCCTTTACATTCAGTCCCCCAATCTGTAATATCCCTTTACATTCAGTCTCCCAATCTGTAATATCCATTTACATTCAGTCTCCCAATCATCCGCGGCACAGTCCGAATCACGACTACACAGGACCGATGGACAAACCAGACTTGTTCCCTTTTTTATCTCACTCACAGGACAAACGCCATGTGGCTCTAATATAACAAAGAAATATACACCGAGAATTAATCCAGCCATTAGAGACATCAATAGCAAGAGAACAAAACCACGTGGCCAGTAACAAATATATGGAAAGTTGTCAAAAATTTAAACATCATAAAAATGAACATTAAAAAAAGGTCTCTTTAGAAATTCTCACAGCAAGTGAAATATGCTTCTTTGAGGCAGATTCAGACACGTTCTCCTTTGACGGAAGGACATTTCCCCTCCATCATTAATGGTTACCATACAAAGGAAGGTAGAACACCATTCTAGTAGATACAACGCAGAACATATTAAATTCAATGTACGTTTTGCTGATCCAGTGAAAATCTCAGGGACTCCTAAAGTAATGCTGGAATATTCCTTCTACCTCTCAAACAAATCATAAAAATATAATGTAATATTTTTATCACTATTTTTTGGGTGAGGAACACTGACTTTGTTTTCATATAACTAATTATCTATTTAACAGAAACTGTAACATGGGGAGCTCTGTGACTCTGCATTACACTTATATCAGACGGACTTCATTATCACATTACCTTCCGCAGGATCCCAGCAGCTATTCCCACAAATATTACAGCATTTCTGTTTGCCGGGACAGTCACGATCAGCTTGGCACGTGGGCTCCGGTGGTGGGAACTTACATCTGACTACAATAGGGGGACAACGCCCAGGTCTTACTGCAAAAAGGACACAACAAATTGCAGGTAATATGTTACAAGTCAGTGAATTAGAAATTCAGTCACATTGAGCAGAATGGATGGATTCCAGAGACGTTCCGTAGGCGAAAGCCGCCACATATAAGGAGTTAAAAATTGTAGACACTCAGAAAAAGATATGAAAAGTCCATAGATAAAATGAAAGTTGTAGATAATGTATAGAGAAATCCAAGGATCCCAGAACTGGCCAACGAGATGCCTGGACTGGATGTGTGACTGGACAGAGCAGGTGTGGAAGGAGACTATATAACAAGGGTCAGGGAGATGGCATTTGTCCAGAGAGAGATCTGTGGAGCAGAATACAAGGAGGTAAAGTGTTTGGAGGAGATAAAACCAAAGAGAATGGAGAAAATGATAAGCCATGATGTGCTCAATATACTATATGCAATAAGTTTATGTTGGTGCAGATGAACCAGTAAGGAATATTCTCGCTAACCTTGCACGGGGGGGACACATTTCCAGCCACAGTTGGAGCAACAGCATTTTTTGCCACTTGGACACGGACTGTCGAATTTACAGTCATCAGGCCCCGGTTTGGCCAGTGGACAGATAGAGGGATCAAACGGAGGGCACACATTGAGTAAATCTAAATCTGAAGAATGGAGAAAACAAAGTCAGTAAAATATATTAACGTTGATGAGTAAAGTGTAAAAAGAGGCTGTATGGTTGCCAGAAACATATTGGGTCAATCCACACGTAATAATGGACTTATGATTGAAAACTAGGAAACAAAGTTATCACAGACTAATCTGCTACCCATTGGAATTAAGTGAGATTATTACAGTTCACATATCACCATGTGTTTGTTTAATAATTTATTGATTGCACAGTAAATGCTAACAGTAATGGCTGACACCCACACACTGCGTTCAATATAAATAATGGGGTCTCTGTACCTGAAGAAGGCTTCACACATTTCTGTCCGTCCCCAGAGACACAGCACTTCTCATCCGCGGCACAGTCCGAATCACGACTACACAGGACCGATGGACAAACCAGACTTTTTCCCTTTTTTATCTCACTCACAGGACAAACGCCATGTGGCTCTAATATAACAAAGAAATATACACCAAGAATTAATCCAGCCATTAGAGACATCAATAGCAAGAGAATAAAACCACGTGGCCAGTAACAAATTTATAGAAAGTTGTCAAAAATTTAAACATCATAAAAATTAACATTAAAAAGGTCTCTTTAGGAATTCTCACAGCAAGTGAAATATGCTTCTTTGAAGCAGATTCAGGCACGTTCTCCTTTGACGGAAGGACATTTCTCCTCCATCATTAATGGTTACCATACAAAGGAAGGTAGAACACCATTCTAGTAGATACAACGCAGAACATTATTTATTAAATTCAATGTACGTTTTGCTGATCCAGTGAAAATCTCAGGGACTCCTAAAGTAATGCTGGAATATTCCTTCTACCTCTCAAACAAATCAGAAAAATATAATGTAATATTTTTATCACTATTTTTTGGGCGAGGAACACTGACTTTGTTTTCATATAACTAATTATCTATTTAACAGAAACTGTAACATGGGGAGCTCTGTGACTCTGCTATACACTTATATCAGACGGACTTCATTATCACATTACCTTCCGCAGGATCCCAGCAGCTATTCCCACAAATATTACAGCATTTCTGTTTGCCGGGACAGTCACTGTCCGTCTGGCATTTGGGCTTTGGCAGTGGCAACAAACACTTAGCTTTGATAGGAGGACAGCGCCCTGGTCTCACTGCAGAGAGAATAGAAGGCAGAACATTACAAAACTGTTAATTTTAAATAAGTCAGTGTCTTGTTTAGAGAACCAACAGATCCTACAGGATGTTCTACAGGAAAAACTGTTTGATTTCATAAATAAAAGAACTGGGATCTTTTCATGCTGGAAAAGATCTCCATCAGACAAATGCTCTGGTAATTTATAAGAAAGGTTGACACTTCTGAATTTTGGATTCAGATAGAGAAAGAAGGGGTCCATGATGTACCTCAACAGGCTGGGTGACCGGAAAAAATGCAGGTGCCACAGGAGTGGACACAAAAAGAGGCTCAGAGTGAACTGTGAGCTATAAACCAATGGAGAAAAACGTTTGTAGGAGATAAAACCAAACTGTAATGGAGGAAATGGAAACTTGTGATGTGTTCTGTATTACACTACACACATGCATGTTGGTGTGGATGTAATAGTAGTAGACAATAGGAAGACCTTGTGTCTTTGTTCCTGGAAAACCTTGACCCAGACCAAAAATAAAAAGTCCAGGGCAGAGACCTCTTACCTTCCTCAACTACCTCACTGCTCATTCGAGCACCAATTTTCTTTCTAGTTTTTTTTTTAAACGAAAACAGTGAGCAAGAGAGTACAGAGAACGGATAACAACTCAAACAACTGCCTAAGGTGCATAAGTCCTTGACGAATCCACCTGGCAGGCCTATTGTATCAGGAAGGGATAATCTAACCCAGAATGCAAGCAATTTACCATCATACATCAGAGATACAAAACAAATGTTACACTGGTTAAAGAACCTAAGGGTACCAGAAGAAGCCATCTTATGTAGCCTGGACGTAGAGGCATTATATAGCTCCATCCCCTTATAAATTGAGGATTAAAAGCGTTAGATCCACTCTTCAGAAAACACTTAATGCCCCACCAGCATACATAGACTTTATTTCTGATATCCTTAAATTTATCTTGACCAAGAATGTCTTTTTATTTAATGGTAAAGTATACCAACAAGTTAGGGGTAATGCCATGGGGACTTCATGCGCACCCTCCTATGCATACTTGGGCAACTGGGAGACACACATTGACACGGACCAGACTTTATCGATCTATCATGATAAAATTTATTTTTGAAAAAGATACATTGATGATGTCTTTGTTATTTGGCTGGGATCTTCTGATGAGTTCATGATGTTTGTAACTCTCTTTATTTATTTATTTATTTATTTATTTTTGTAGTGCATAGATATAACACAAACAGGCGAGAGGTACCCCAAAGGCAGTCCTCTAGCTTTTCCCATGCGAGACAAGCGGGGCACAAGATGAACATGCACAATTTTGTTTTATAAACAGGTTTAAGCATACGAATACCGCATTGAATTAAAATTATGGTCTAAGAGTATAAGCAGTTGTAGCATTGTAGTTTCAGCTGTACAAATACACTGATACTATATTCATGTTTGGTCAGAGCTTGAGTTAGGTTAGTTTCTCACGTTTAATACAGGTCCATACTACGCTTTTGGGACACGGATCTCACTATATATATATATATATATACACATGCATTCAAAATGCCATAATGCCAAGTCAGCAGGCTTATTTATTAATGCTTAGTTTACCCTCAGCTTGTGTGTAATTTCGACCCACCTGCAGCCTAGCATACCATAGGGGTTAGCCAATTTACAGAGGGAGGGTTGGATGTCCGGGGCCTAGCGTGATACTCATGGATATGCAACATAAAGCAGGTATAAGAGTGAGTGTTCATTTAAGAGATACTGCTGAAAATCTTGTCTAGGCCCAGTCCGTGAGGATGGTAGGTTGTACTTTGCTGTCTGTTCCTCTTGGACCGGACAGGTGGTGATACGGTGAAGGAGGCAGAGTGCAGGTTGTGTAGCTCAGCTGCGGCATCTGGGTCTGACTGCCTCCCTCTTCATGGGCTGTTTTGTGCAGGTGGTAGCAGTTACTTGCTTCCCCGCTTTGTTCCCGCTCTCTTCGTAGTCACCACAGCTGATCTCTATGTAGTCAGCCGGAACGGCCCTGGAGTAGATCGGGTGGCGCTGGATGGTCACGGCTCCATTATGCTGGCAGGTCGCGCACATGGCTTGCGTGCGGAGGCCATTTTGAGGAGTGCTGCTTGGTAAGTTTGCCATGGCGTGTTGGGGCTCAGCTATGTGGTCTGAGTACAGCAATACCCCCGTATGTACCTTTGCCAGGTATATGTGGACATCGGAGGGGCACATTTGGGACACAGCCATTCCAGTTTTTTTCAAACTTAAAATTTTTACGCTGTGCCCATGTCCCATTTTAGAATATTTTACTAGGCTATATAACCCAAATACCACATAAAGCCATACCATTTCTGAAAGAAGACATCCCAGGGTATTTCAAAAGGCATATTTTGAACCTTAGCGTGGGATAATTTTTCCGCTAGCTTGTACCAAGTGTAGTGGTAATAAGCGTTTTTTTCTGCCTTTTTGACACACAAAGTGAGTTTGCACAGTATATTTTGCAAACCGTATGTGTGCTACGACTGTATAATACTACATATGTTGCTCAGCTATGTGGTCTGAGTACAGCAATACCCCCGTATGTACCGTTGCCAGGTATATGTAGATGTTGAAGGTGCACATTTGAGACGCAGCCATTCAGTTTTTTTCTAACTTTGAAGTTTTACGCTGTGTCCATGTTCCAATTTGGAGTAGTTTAGATGGTTGGTTATTGAAACTTCCCCACAAACACATGTATTAAAGAATACAGCCTGGGTAATTCAAAAGGCATATTTTGAACCTTGGCGTGGCATCATTTTTTCTCTAGTTTGTTCCAGGTGTAGTGGTAATGAGCATTTTTAAATGTATTTTTTTACTTTTTAAAACTTTTTTCACTTTTTTAAACTAGTTTTTAAACTTTTGTTTTTCTTATTAATTTTTTTTAAACTTTACTAAACTTTCTTGAAACCTTTTTTTTTTACAGATTTAAAATGTTTCTAAGCTTTTTTTTTTTTTACCGTTAACCCCTAACTAGCAGTAAGCAGCACTAACAGTAAATTCCCCATTTTCCCATAACTCCCACCCACCCCAGCTAGCAAAATATATAATTATAAAATATTTAAATCAGTTAAATAAATAAATTGAACCCCTGAGGGTTAAAAAAAAAATAAAAGTTAATTGTCAGGGGTTAAAAAAAAATGAGATCACAGTATAATACTGTGATCTGTATTTTGATCACTGTAGGCAGTGATCGACTAGCAGGGAAGGGGTTAATTCTTATTTGGACTGGCTAAAGGGGGGTGTTTTTTTGTTTTTTTTTATTTCTTACTTAAACATTATTAAAACTTTTTTTAACTTAATTTTGAACTTTTTAAAGCTTTTTTTTAAAACTTTTTTTAATGTTAACCCCTAATTAGCCTAACACCAAATCCCCCAATTCCCCACTAACTTCCACCCACCCAAGCTAGCTAAATTTACAATTTTAAAATACTGAAATGAATTAATAAAATAAATTTGATTTAATAAAATAAAATCAATTGGCAGGGAAAGGGTTAATTTTTTATTAAAATGGGTAAAGGGGGGTGGGATTTTAAATTAACTTTATTTATTTTTTTAACAGGGGGCAGGATCATCACTGATCCGTTTCCCTGCACTTCACACAGAACCAGGAAGTGCAGGGAGGCGGAAGGTAAGTATACTAAGCACATGTGCTCGCTCTGACATGCTGTCAGAGCGAGCACATGTGCTGGGCAGCACTATCGGGTGCTCCCGGTCTGCCTCTAATACAGCAATTCTAATACAGCAATTCACTCGTCGTTAAGGGGTTAAAAGAATAATAATAACATATATTTATGTGGCACCTTTCTCTTAGTGGGACACAGCTCTCGGAGCTGACCAGTAGTATATGTTAACGTTGCCCCATTGATGGAGCTTGTTTTGCCGATCTTGGACGGATGGGGTGTTGGGTTGGCCTTGCTGTGATTTGAACCTGCAGCCTTGCCTTTTTTTTTAGCAGGCATTGCAGTCAGGGATTTTACCAGCTAAGCTATGTCATTGGCAGGGTGTATCTTCACTATGTTTTTGATATGTAGAATATGTGACGACATGACACACCCCTGGCAGGCTGCAGAATAGAGTTTAGATACTCCGCCCCTCAGGAACTCCCACATTGAACAGCTGATGGCCATGTTTTCATCATTAATAGGTATTTAAATGGAACAACAAGCTGCTCATGTTCACAGGCTCCTGACGACGGCGTTTTGAACACGCCGAAACGCGCGTTGAGCGTTTTCTTTTTCTTTAATCTCTGCACTTGGTAGCACTTTTTTATTTTTGTTACCACTATGGTTATTGATTTTTACGTGTTGATTTATTTATTTATAACTTTAGTAGGTAGAGTTGCTTCAGGTAGACACTAGTGGTTAGACCACGGTGTCGAGGTAACTTTTAGGGTGAATTGAGAGATTTATTTATTTATTTTTTGTGAGAGGCTTTTCATCTGCGTTTAGACTGGATTACCCGGTCCCTTGTTCTCTGGGGACCCTGTGCCTCTTCTCTCTCCCTAACCTCATTTACACTACCTTCCTGTCAGTCGGGCACTAGGGGAATTGGAACTTAGATGCTAGCTAGTACTCCAGACACTATTTAGTAGATCTCCCTTTTTTTCAAGTTATACTTTTTGTTTGCATATCCCTTTTTATCCTTAGATTGATTAAAGGTAGGGCCTCCCTTCCTCATTTCTTATACAGTGGAGCTCTCCTGATGTTGGTGTCCCCTTGTGGGACTCTACACATCACCTACTCCTATTACCTACATATTTTGGAGGGTTACCCCCTCATTAGAGCTCCCTATTAGGTGGTTACAGTGGTGCAGCTCATGAGCCCTTGACTTGTATCCGGACTCCTGACCTGCACTCTGTTTACTTTATTTCTCCATTTTGTGTAACAACTCAAACAGCTTACTCTTCGCAAGCTGCTTTTAGCTCACGTTATGCCATTACAGAGAGAACCTAAGCTATTTGCACATCAGGCTGATCCCAACAGAGGGTTCAGATTCAAAATGCCCTCTGTACGAAAGATACAGCAACCCCAGATGATCATTTCAGTCTTGTTAGGCCTTATAGTCAGGTGTAGCGGATACTCCTCTAGTGAGCATGGGGTCCACATCTGGATTATGCTTTTACATTAAGGATAGCAAACAAACTAAAACAGGTTGCAAAACAATACTGAGAACAGACAAAATAACTTGCCCTTAGGTGGGCAACTATTCTGACACCTATTGAGTCTATTGAGTTTCTCTGAGCTTTTTCCCTAATTTAAATGGGTAATTCAGAAGTGGACCCCCGTGCCTAGATGGGTATCAGCTACACCTTGCTGATGACACCTATAGAAGGCCAAAACAATTGTCCATGATATACATTGTGAAGATGAAATTTGTCGTATTTTTGGATCTTGACTGCCCTAATGGTTGAGGTCAGGATATGCAAATACTAGGAAGTTAAGTGTTTGAAGGAGAAAAAACCAAAGAGAATTGAGAAAATGAGAAGCCATGATGTGCTCAATATACTATATGCAATAAGTGTGTGTTGGTGGAGATAAACCAGTAAGGAATATTCTCGCTTACCTTGCACAGGGGTTACACATTTCCAGCCACAGTTGGAGCAACAGCATTTTTTGCCACTTGGACACGGACTGTCGAATTTACAGTCATCAGGCCCTGGTTTGGCCAGTGGACAGATGGAGGGATCAAATGGAGGGCACACATTGAGTAAATCTAAATCTGAAGAATGGAGTTAATAAGGTTAATAATTGAAAGCAGTAGAATGGATCAAAATGAGCGAAGTAAACAACGATTTAGTAAAATATTGAGTCCTTCAATCTACAGTGACAGACCTGGCCACATGGCATAAATCGTTATTTGGCTGGTTCGCTTAGAGCATATTCTAAAAATAAACACCCTACCTAAATTGTTGTACAGGTTACAAACCCTGCCCATTGCTCTACCAAAATCCTTCTTCACAACCATAACACGTCTGTTCAGTTCTTTCCTATGGGTGCACAAACACCCCAGAATCTCCCTTCAAGGCCTTATGGGCCACATAATACATACAAGGTAATAGGTGGAGCTGCGTAATGTCCTGTATTATCTGTAAAACAGAATAAATACAAATAGCGTAGAGAGTCTGAACAAATAAAGATGATAAAAGTAGAGATAAATGGGTTAAACTCACACGATTAGAGTCATACCATCATATGACTCTAGAGGTATGTTCCTTTGGACCATTGGGGGGTTGTCCAGACCCTAATGTCATTGGTTCCTAGATATTCCTCTTTATGGTCCTTTGAGTGTTGCCCAAAAAATTCTCAATATGTTGCTTGTTCTTATTTATAAAAATAATGTATCTTTATTTTCAATAATAAAATGTTAACAAAGTGAAAAATAAATACTAACAGAAACACTATACCAATAAATATTGGATATAGGTAAAGTCCTGTATAGAGCAAGAGTGTCCAAAACGCGTTTCGCCTGATATACAGGCTTCTTCAGTTGCCTCTGTAGTGTTCAGTTCGTTTTTTTCTTTTTAAAAGAAGTTTTCCGCTGGTTTCGCCGCTTTTATGCGGCACTTCTGGGTTTCGGCCGCTTGGAACGCAACATGCGTTCCGACGTCGGCATTTACCTCCGGGTTCCGGCCGCCGGAACGCAACATGCTTGCCATTGCTGGCTCTCGTGTCCAAGTTCCTTTCCAATGGAACGCACATGCGTTCCGATTGCCTGCTTGTCACAACTATCGGGCTCTTCCATCTAGCCACAGGGAGAATGAGTCCATTGCACAAATCCCATCTCACTCCTCCAATACATAGCGACATCACACTTGTATACAAATACTATATACCAAAAAATACCCTAGGATGAATAGAGTGGACAACAATATATACATTCATACTATTAATCACAATAACAAAAGGGATTGAAGGTGCCTATAATGTCCTAAATATAGATAATATGTTAGAATGCTGGACAAAATACAAGAATAACATAATAAAAATTCTAAAGTATCCTGTTTGGTCTATATGGTCCATAAGACTGCAGTATAAAAGATGTATTATATATATATTATATAGAGATAAAACAGAGGACAGAAGTCACATAATAAAATATGCAAAAATAGTATTAGGGTCTATTATGACTTTATAACTTAGAGTTCTTTAAATGGAAGATTTAAAACTTAATATTAAAATGCTGGATTACTAAACTAAAAAAATATATGATTGAAAAAATATATTTTAAAAAAAATTGTGGAAACCAAGTAATAAAAATATTTTAAAATATTAAAATATTTTTTATTTAAAACTAATATTTATTGCATAAAATGGCATAATTCGAAATCATTATTAAGTCCATATGGAATCATGGTATTAAAATTAAATATGAATTTCATTTCTTCCTTGCCTATTTTATTGCCATAGTCTCCACCCCTCCAATCTTTTTTTTATACCAATTTTAGCGCACAAAAGAACATCCCTTCAGGGTTTTGTTGGTGAACTTGTTTAAAGTGATGCGAAACACTGTGGGTTTCTACTCCGTTTTTAAGGTTTCGTATATGTTCTGCTATTCTTATGTTTAATTTTCTAATCGTGCGCCCTACATATAGTAGGTTACATGGACATTTTAGGATGTAGATAACTCCTTTCGAGTGGCATGTTAGGTGATCTTTTATAACAAATGTTTTATTAATAACTGGTTCTAGATCTGTAAGGTGTCTTTTTTTACTTATAATATTTTTACATGCTAAACATTGTCCGCATCCATAAAAGCCATTGCTCATAGTAAAAAAAGAATTTCCTGTTTTGTGTTCTTTATTACTACTTTGTACGAGAGTATTTCTTAAATTCTTTGCACCAATTATCTTTGGTTTTATTGGTAATAAAGTTTTTAAAATCGGATCATCCTTCAATATGTGCCAATGTTTTGTTATGGCCTTATTAATTTTTCTATTGTTGCCATTGTAATTACATATAAAGGGAATGTTTTGGTTCCAATTTGGATCTTTCTTTTTTTGTTTATATTTTAAAAAGTCTGCTCTATGAGTGTTTTGGACTTCATTTAAAGCTACTTGGAGAGGGCCTTCCTCGTATCCTTTTTCCAGAAATTGTATTTTAATCCTGTTTGCCTGTTCTAAAAAGTCTTGTTCGTCTGTGCAATTACTTCTTAATCGTAGAAATTGACCTTTGGGAGCATTGCTCAACCATGGGGTATGGTGGCAGCTCTCTCTCCTAATGTAGCTATTGGCGTCAACTTCTTTAAAGTGGTTCTTAGTAGCAATTGTATCGTGTTTAATGAAAATTTCTAAATCCAAGAAATTAATTTGTCGTGTGCTAATCTGTGCTGTTAAAATAATATTCCACTGATTTTTATTCAAATAATCGATGAAAGACAATAAGTCTGCTTGTGACGCAGTCCAAATAAAAAATATGTCGTCTATGTACCGGCGATAGTTTACCAAGTTCGCACCCCATGTGTGGTTCTGGTAAATAAACTGTTCCTCCCAGTACGCCATAAATAAATTTGCATAGCTGGGGGCGAACTTGGTACCCATCGCCGTACCTCTAATTTAGGGGGAGTAGCTGGCACTGTGAGCAGGAGGGAAGGGGGAGTGGCTGGTACTGTGAGCAGGAGGGAAGGGGGAGTGGCTGGCACTGTGAGCAGGAGGGCAGGGGGAGTGGCTGGCACTGTGAGCAGGAGGGAAGGGGGAGGGCCGGGCACAGTGAGCAGGAGTGAAGGGGAGGGCCGGCACTGTGAGCAGGAGGGTAGGGGGAGTGGCCGCACTGGAGCAGAAGGAAGGGGAGTGGCCGCACTGTGAGCAGAAGGGAAGGGGAGGGCTGGCACTGTGAGCAGGGGAAGGGGAGTGGCTGGCACTGTGAGCAGGAGGGTAGGGGAGTGGCTGGCACTGCAGCAGGAGGGAAGGCGGAGTGGCTGGCACTGTGAGCAGGAGGGAAGGGGAGTGGCTGGCACCTGTGAGCAGAAGGGAAGGGGAGTGGCTGGCACTGTGAGCAGGCAGGAAGGGGAGTGGCTGGCACTGTGAGCAGGAGGGTAGGAGTGGCTGGCACTGTGAGCAGGAGGGAAGGGGGAGTGGCCGGTACTGTGAGCAGGAGTGAAGGGGGAGTGGCCGGCACTGTGAGCAGGAGGGTAGGGGGAGTGGCTGGCACTGTGAGCAGGAGGGAAGGGGGAGTGGCCGGCACTGTGAGCAGGAGGGAAGGGGGAGTGGCTGGCACTGTGAGCAGGAGGGAAGGGGAAGTGGCTGCTCTGGTCTGCTCAGCAGACACTCTGCCCTCTTGTGGTCGGGAAAGGAAGAATCAGGAAATATTTTTCCTGTCTTGCGGCTGGTCGAAGACACAGCTGAAAGCGGCCCCAGGGCAGGTGGGCTGCAAGTATTGTCAGGATATTTATATCGGCAGACATTTTGTGCTAAGAAAGAAATTAAAAGTGTATATTGCCAGAGTCACTCAGAACAGAGCGGACTCCATTTTGCTATCTTCAGGATAACAAAGACACAATTTCATTGATTTCACTAACCACTGAGCCTGAGCTAAGGAATGCATTATATAAACACAGACACTAGTGACAGAGAAGACTAAGTAACTAATTTTACAAGTTCCCATTGTAAGTAAGGGGTGAAATTGAGTTTAGAACTGTCAATTTTAGAAATCAAAGTAGTTGCCACAAAGACTGAGACAAACGCTTTGAACTGCCAGCAGATCTAAGTTATGGTAGTCATTTTAGATAAGCCAAATGACGTCAAAATCGTCATCAGGAAAAGTTAACTCTTTCCTGGATAGGAAGGTTTAGTTAGACGAGACTGCCATCTATGGATCAAATACCTAAATTGCGATCCATAGATTGAACACATCTACAGTTTCCTATTGGCTTATCAACTAATGACGTACAGAGAGTCAGGCCCTTTAAAAGTTAGGACAAAGGGAAGAGAGAGATTAGTTGGTAGAGAGAGGGAGTTGAGAGTTTGGGCATTCAGATTCGGACATGCAGAGAGATCCAGGACACTCTAACAACTCTACTCTTAAACTCTCTTGGACACAACTCCTTGACACTTAGAATTTTACTCTGACTTTCTAACCAACATCACTTTTCTCTATTACTCACGCACCTCCATACAACCAATCAAGTTTCTGGGACTCAAAGGAAAACAGGAGATAGGTTAGCGCTAATAAAACAATGGATAGGCAGCAACCTGACAGAGGGTAACCCTCTAACCCTCTATGGTAAAGGTATAAAACAAGAGAAAAGAGAGGCTGCGCCAAAAGAAATGATAAAAAGGTAGTAAAAATTATTGTATAAAATTAGTCCCAATATGTATAAAAATTGATCTGTGGTAGGAAGTTGTCTCAAGCAATATTTCAGCTGGTGAGGTATCTTCTCTGTTTATAGTAGTGCAGATCGTCTCGTAATATGGAAGACACAAGAAGAGAGGACCAATCATGCAGAGTGTATATGATGATTATAGGTGAATTAAAATATAAATTTGCCACTCACACTTAGATGAGCTATGGCCAGCTCAGGTGTAGTAGGCACAGAGCGGAACAATCCCCGCTTATAGGATATACAGGTGCTTGTCCTCCAGGAGAAGATGGTGTCCAACTCTCACGGAAAGAAAAACATAAAAACAACCAATAGTGCTCTCTGAAGACATGATGTAAAAATGGATAAAGTAAAATAAAATATACTCACAAGTAGAGTGCAAGCCTAATTGCACTCTGATAATAGCGTTGGTGGTATAATCCCCACCTCAGGATAAGTTGAATAAAATGCCAGAAAAAAATTATAATAATAAAAATGTGTATAAAAAAGTAATGGCACAGAAATCTAGCCAAAAATGTTTTTATTATAAAATACACATTATAAAACCATTCACGCGTTTCACCACTAGGGCTTTATCAAAATGGAATAACTTTAAAACCTGGCAGGTAGGGGTATATATATATATATATATATATATATATATATATATATATGTACATACATAATTTAAAAATGGTGCCAAAAAACGTCATTAACCAATCAGAGTGAAGTATTATCCATAACAATAGTCAAATTTGCATTTAAAAATAAAATTGGACAGAAGAGCTTTAACATCTTACATATTAACAAATGTAATCATTTAAAATTGAATTCAATAAAAAACGAAATGTATAGGCATGAACAATTATGTATATAATTTTAACACGTCACGTGACTCACGCAGCACTATGGGAAATGTGGTGCGCGAGTCACGTGACCAGCACCCACAGGAGTGTACTGGGACCGAAGCCACATGGGAATGTAGTAAGTGCGGCCACCCTAATCATAGGCAGCTCGCACAAAGAAAGGGGTGTGTACAGAGTGCTTCACGTGAACCGCGGCACACATGCAAGTATGATGCGCGGGTCACGTGATCGGCATACTTTAGGGGATTATAGCGTCGCATAGCCGCATGGGTATTGTAGTTGATGGGCGTGCGTCCTCCACCCTCATGGGCAGTACATATAAACATACTTGACACCATGAGAAAACATTAAAACAATAAATGAAGATATATAAGCATCTGAACTGATAAAATAATTACAGACCAACATAAGAAATAAATGACTGTAAATAAAAACATAGTTAAAAGGAATCATGTTAACTATGGGCACCAGAAAAAAAAAAAGAATAAAAAACATCAATTAGTTGAATAAATACAATTGTAAAACCAAAATAAAATAACAGCTATATGGCCTTATTTTAGATATGAAAAATAAAAAGCGTAATTATAGCACATTATTAGTAAAAATGCGGTCAAGTTGGGGGCATCCTAGACTATAATGCCGTAGGTAACAACTATGAATAGGATAGCCCCAACTTGACAGTAAGTGACAATACATATACTGAAAAACAAACAAACAAAAAAAACCACAGTTAAAACAAAATTATAAAAAATTGATATAGATAAAGATATAGTCATAAAACCTGCAGACAAGGGTGGAGGTCTAGTCATTCAATCAAGTATCATGTATCTCGAAGAACCATATAAAACAATTAAACAACACTGCCGTATACATTAAATTACCCAAAGATCCAACATCCTCTCTACAACACAAACTATCCATTTAAAAAAAAAAAAGGGGATTAGATGAAAATATTTTAAACAAAAAAAAGAATTTGATTATCTATTTATTAAATATCCCAAAATTCTGGTAATTTATTTTTTGCCGAAAATACATAAAGATGCTAAACACCCTCCTGGTAGACCTATAGTGTCAGGGATTAATTCCCCTTTATGTAACTTATCTCAATACATTGACACTTTACTCCAACCTTCAGTGAAACTTATGAAGTCTTATTTGAAAGACTCAATGACACTATTAAGGTTTTTAAATAGATTTTATTGGAAATCTGATTTTATACTTGTCACATGTGACATCACCTCTTTATACACCATTATTCCCCATCAACTTGGTTGTCAGGCTGTTAAAACCATTTTATTAAATGAAAAGAGAATCCCAGAATCTCAGATAGATTTTATTGTGGAGGGTATCAATATTATTTTAAATAATAATTATTTTTGGCTCTTTACCTTCAGAAGAGAGGGACAGCTATGGGGACCAGGTTTGCCCCCAGCTATGCCAACCTCTTCATGGCTGACTGGGAATCCAGCGCCATCTGGGGACAGCATGCCTGGGAGCACAGCCTGGTCTCCTATTTTAGGTATATCGACGATCTGTTTTTTTATATGGAAGGGTTCTGAGGATTCCCTCAACTCCTTTATTTCACATCTTAATTCTAATAACAGAGGGATTGTCATGACTTGTGAATACAGTAAAGACACAATCAATTTTTTAGATCTAAATATTTTTATTAAAGATGGAACAGTACACACCAAAAATTTTTTTTTTAAAAGTATGCACTAACACGGCTATTGATCAAACTAGCTGCCATTACAAGCCTTGGCTTGAAAGTGCCCCTAAAAGTCGATTTTTTACGAACACGCAGAAACTGTTCCCATATTGATGTTTTTAATGAACAATCGCTGGTTTTAAAGAAACAATTTGTAGATAAGAATTACTCACCTACACAGTTGAATAATACAATACAAACAGTGAGAAAGTCTTTTAACTTACAAGGATAAAAATACTTCAGAAACCCCTACCCTACCTATAATATTTTTTTTTTTTTAAATTCTTTATTTTTGGTATGCAGATAGGTACAACAGTGCCTGTATCGCCACAACAGCGTCAGCAGGCTCGATTTCCAAAATAATTTTATGACAGTATTGTGGCATGTTGGGTATGCATACATTTTTTAAATAGGAAGGGTAACGATAATTAAGAGGTCTAACATTCAGATGCAACGACTCGTTAGCGTTTAAACAGGCTTGGATAGATCATTAATCTAATTTGTCAGTTATAAGTTATGACATATGAGATACTAATACAGGTAAACATACTGACATTTCTATTGAGTTTTTAGGTCATAAGCTTAGCCAACATAGGTATGCAGGTAGGATACCACCAGTCATGATGTCACATATTAAGCAGTGAGCAGAAGGCATGAAAATAAACAAACACTACGTGAACATTAACTGAGGGGATGTATGCTTATCAGTAAATGCAGCCCAAGTGGAAACTGTTGGGGCTATCATTGGTACAATACACGGTGTGTGCCTTAGATGTTGCATATCGTTTAAAACTGAGAGTGCCGGTGGCTCTGACGATGCAGAGGATAAGAGAGGCAGCCTATGCCAAGACATAAGGTAAGTCCCCGCTGTGCACCCAGGTGGCCCGCTGATTCCCAAAGTCCCGCCAAGGGGCGCAGCGTCTGCCCACCGGTATTAACAGGCTTCCCGGTTGTTGAACAGGTATAGGCTCGGTGCTTTCCAAGTGACATTGTCCAGGTGCGGGCTGCAGTAAAATGGAGTCGGCGTCTGGGGATGATTTCCCTAAATGAACTTCCAGTGCTGGTCGCTGGCGTCGATTTGGGAAGCGTTGGTGAGGCGCACTCAGTTAAGGCAGGCACCGCGCCCGCTCCTAGGGATTGCAGCCGCAGTGTGGGTAAGTGAAACCTACCTATAATATTTAACTATAATAATAATAAAAGTGGTTTTATTAAAAAAACAATAAAAAAACATTGGCACCTTTTAAGACAATCTTTAAGAGATTTTACCAACACAACCTAAAATTGTCTTTAGAGGTGCTCCAAATTTTAGATCTATTTTAACTAATAATTATACGAAAGAAATTAAAAATACAAATCATACTTTTTTAAATGGAGCAACTGTTGTGTGTAAAAACACTGATCTCTCCACATACTCAAAAGTTACTAGTTTTAAGCCTAATATAACTAAAAAGAACTATACCATAAAAGATTTTATTGGATGCAACGCAACTAATGTGATCTACCTATTGGAGTGCCCATGCGGCTTCTAATATGTGGGTATGACTACAAGGTGCCTAAAAACTAGACTAGCAGAACATTGCAGAAATATAAAAAATAGATACCCAAATCACTCCGTATCCAAGCATTTTGAGAAACATAATCGAGATCACAAATTTCTTAAATGCATTGGAATTAAAAAATGCAAGATTCCCTGGAGAGGTGGCAATATAAAAAATATTTTAGGTAGATCAGAAATGGAATTGGTATACAATTTACAAACCCTAGCCCCCCAAGGTTTAAATGCAGACTACGATTTATAAAAAATTTTATAATTTTGTTTTAACAGTTTTTTTTTCAGTATATGTATTGTCACTTACTGTCAAGTTGGGGCTATCCTATTCATAGTTGTTACCTACGGCATTATAGTCTAGGATGCCCCCAACTTGACCGCATTTTTACTAATAATGTGCTATAATTACGCTTTTTATTTTTCATATCATAGCGGTTATTTTATTTTGGTTTTACAATTGTATTTATTCAACTAATTGATGTTTTTTATTAACTGGTGCCCATAGTTAACATGGCTCCTTTTAACTATGTTTTTATTTACAGTCATTTATTTCTTATGTTGGTCTGTAATTATTTTATCAGTTCAGATGCTTATATATCTTCATTTATTGTTTTAATGTTTTCTCATAGTGTCAAGTATGTTTATATGTACTGCCCATGAGGGTGGAGGACGCACGCCCATCAACTACAATACCCATGCGGCTATGCGCCGCTATAATCCCCTAAAGTATGCCGATCACGTGACCCGCGCATCATACTTCCATGTGTGCCACGGGTCATGTGACGCACTCTGTACCCACCCCTTTCTTTGTGCGAGCCGCCTATGATTAGGGGGCTGCACTTACTACATTTCCCATGTGGCTTCGGTCCCAGTACACTCCTGTGGGCGCCGGTCACGTGACTCGCGCACCACATTTCCCATAGTGCTGCGCGAGTCACGTGACGTGTTAAAATTATATACATAATTATTCATGCCTATACATTTCGTTTTTATTGAATTCAATTTTAAATGATTACATTTGTTAATATGTAAGATGTTAAAGCTCTTCTGTCCAATTTTATTTTTAAATGCAAATTTGACTATTGTTATGGATAATACTTCACTCTGATTGGTTAATGATGTTTTTTGGCACCATTTTTAAATTATGTATATACCTATATATATATATGTATATATATATACCCCTACCTGCCAGGTTTTAATGTTATTCCATTTTCATAAAGCCCTAGTGGTGAAACGCGTGAATGGTTTTATAATATTGTGTATTTTATAATAAAAACATTTTTGGCTAGATTTCTGTGCCATTACTTTTTTATACACATTTTTATTATTATTATTTTTTCCTGTCATTTTATTCAACTTATCCTGAGGTGGGGATTATACCATCAACACTATTATCAGAGTGCAATTAGGCTTGCACTCTACTTGTGAGTATATTTTATTTAACTTTATCCATTTTTACATCGTGTCATCAGAGAGCACTATTGGTTGTTTTTATGTTTTTCTTTCCATGAGAGTTGGACACCATCTTCTCCTGGAGGACAAGCACCTGTATATCCTATAAGTGGGGATTGTTCTGCTGTGTGCCTACTACACCTGAGCTGGCCATAGCTCATCTAAATGTGAGTGGCAAATTTATATTTTAATTCACCTATAATCATCATATACACTCTGCACGATTGGTCCTCTCTTCTTGTGTCTTCCATATCACGAGACGATCTGCACTACTATAAACAGAGAAGATACCTTACCAGCTGAAATATTGCTTGAGACAACTTCCTACCACAGATCAATTTTATATATATTGGGACTAATTTTATACAATAATTTTTACTACCTTTTTATCATTTCTTTTGGCGCAGCCTCTCTTTTCTCTTGTTTTATAAATTTCTGGGACTACCTACTCATCTGATGAGAATATCTACATAACTGGTAATTATAATGGTTTTATTTAATTAATTTAAATTAATTAAAATTTACTAATAGCATGATATATGACTGGATAAATCATGGTCAGATTTCATATTTAGAAATCTTAGTTAACTAACATTCCATTCTGCAGGTGGAATTAAGAATAATTATATATTAATGTGATCGTATCACGTGTTAGCATACTGCTGTTTTTATCCAGGTGTATTGATTTGCTCTAAAATAAGATAAGATATCTTTTTAGGCAAATTAAAATTCGGCTTTTGTAAAAATCTGGTAGATTATTCTTATTGGATGGTTCCAGGAAATGATTAATGAGCTGATCTGAATGTTATTTTAATTGAAAATCACATGAGAATAGGATATTATATGCCTAGGTGGATCTAGCCAGCATTGAAAGGGTTACTCAGTTGATTTAACTGTTAGCCAAGGTTTTATGGCTTTTCGCTGTGTGAAGCTTTACTTTTTGTCTATAAAGTACCCTCATAAATCTTATTAAGTGACATGTGATGCTGTTAGCCATTGGAACGTGTATAGCCATTCCATTGTATTGCATACTTATGTTATACTAAATATTCACTGATTATTATCATGCATGCTGCCTAATATTATTGTTATTTAATTTGTTACAATAAATTAAATCTATTTTTATAACAAATTGTGATTTTATTTGTATGGAATACATTTCAATTAGATGATAAACGATCTCTAAGATCTAAGAGAATTGAAATAGTGGGCAATTCTCGACTGTTTAATATTATCATCCCATAAATATCCCCACAGTATGTTCACTGTGAGCCACATGCGGCCCGCATCTAAAACAACAGCCACCCTCACACCCAAATTATATGTCACGTTGGGCCGAGGATCTCCACATCTCCTTCACAGATAAAGAATACAAATGCTTCACCAATTTATTCTGTATTTCTCTAAGCAACACCACCCAAGAAGATAATTAAACACACACGCACAAACAACATTTTTCTCCAATTCCCCCAACTCCTTTTAGAGGTGCAGGCTCTCTAGAGGCACCCCATGCAACATATGGTGGTCTTGTGAACCAATTAAATCTATTTTGTTACTCTATCAGATGTGCAAATTGCTAGTCCATGTTTGATTTACCTGGGATCGCCTCATCCATATACACATGCTATTCTCACAGGGTAGAGAAGTCTGCCTGGTGTGAACTCTGCCTTATTGCAAGTCGAGGATTGCCTGGACCGCAATGTACGGTATTGTAACTATTTATGTCCTGTATATCTACAAATTCTACCTCTCTACGACCCAAAGGAATACTGTTGTTACAATGTCATAGAGACACTCTATAGGACTATGTAATGTTATTCATGTTTTAAATATATGGATTTTTAACATAAGACTTCAAATAAAAAATTAAAGTGGTCTCTGTACCTGGAGAAGGCTTCACACATTTCTGTCCATCCCCAGAGACACAGCATTTCTCATCCGCGGCACAGTCTGAATCCCGACTACACAGTACAGACAGACAAACCAGACTTTTCCTCTTCTTAGTCTCACCCACGGGACAAACGCCATGTGGCTCTGTAATAATCAAGGTAAATACAATGACAATATAAGTTACAACCAAAGAACGAGACTAGTTTTCAGAGAATCACAAAAGATAATCATTTTAAGGTAAACTACAAGCACCATAGCCACTATAGGCCACTGTAATTGCTATGGTGCCTAAGTTGCCCTGGCATTCCCCCACAGTAAGGAGTCACACCACATTTGGATTCCATACCTGGGGTCCACCAAGCGGATCTCCATCTCCACTACAAATACCAGAAAACCTCAAGGCTTAGATCATTGGCTGAGAGGGATCAGCGGACTTTGTTTGCAGCTTGCAAACTAAAGAACACGTATCCATGTAATCTCCCAATCTGTAGGATTCCCTTTACATGTACTGGGTTATTCACTAGTGAGATATCAGCCTGAATTCAATGTGATTTTCAAGTAGTCAAACTGAAAAGATAGTTTACTTTGAAAATGTTCAGTTTGGCTTTTTTTTACCTTAAATTTGAATTCATTTAGAACTCACTTTAGTGTTTAAACCTGTTAATTTACCAATAAATTAAACCCTTTACATTCAGTCTCCCAATCTGTAATATCCCCTTTACATTCAGTCTCCCAATCTGTAATATCCTCTTTACATTCAGTCTCCCAATCTGTAATATCGCCTTTCATTGTGTTGAAAATCTTTTTTGCACCATTTGTCCGGTGCACTCACATTGAGCTCACCATTAACGATTTATAGATTTTTACAGGGGTAGGTAACCTTCGGCACTCCAGATGTTGTGGGCTACATCTTCTTGTAGTTTGACTGTAGGAGCGTCATGGGAGATGTTGTCCACAACATCTGGAGTGCAAAAGGATGCCTACCAATATATAGAACATCTTCACAGATTCAGTGGATAAATATGGGCTTTAGGAAAAGTGAAACTAGTTAGACATTTTCTAATAATCACGGTTATGGTGCTCTGGGGAAATGTGAGCCATGAAACCTTATTGAATTACGCACAGTTATCATGCAGAATTACCTTCTGCTGGATTCCAGCAGCTATTCCCACAAATATTACAGCATTTCTGTTTGCCGGGACAGTCACGATCAGCTTGGCATGTGGGCTCCGGTGGTGGGAACTTACATCTGACTACAATAGGGGGACAGCGCCCAGGTCTTACTGCAAAAAGGACACAATGAATTGCAGGTAATATGTTACAAGTCAGTGAATTAGAAATACAGTCACATTGAGCAGAATGGATGGATTCCACAGACGTTCCGTAAGCGAATGCCGCCACATATAAGGAGTTAAAAATTGTAGACACTCAGAAAAAGATATGAAAAGTCCATAGATAGAATGAAAGTTGTATAGTATAGAGAAATCTACTATACAAGAAATCCAAGGATATATAGAGAAATCCAAGGATCCCAGAACTGGCCAACGAGATGCCTGGACTGGATGTGTGACTGGACAGAGCAGGTGTGGAAGGAGACTATAAAACAAGGGTCAGGGAGATGGCATTTGTCCAGAGAGAGATCTGTGGAGCAGAATACAAGGAGGTAAAGTGTTTGGAGGAGATAAAACCAAAGAGAATGGAGAAAATGGGAAGCCATGATGTGCTCAATATACTATATGCAATGAGTTTGTGTTGGTGCAGATGAACCAGTAAGGAATATTCTCGCTAACCTTGCCCGGGTGGGACACATTTCCAGCCACAGTTGGAGCAACAGCATTTTTTGCCACTTGGACACGGACTGTCGAATTTACAGTCATCGGGCCCCGGTTTAGCCAGTGGACAGATAGAGGGATCAAACGGAGGGCACACATTGAGTAAATCTAAATCTGAAGAATGGAGAAAACAAAGTCAGTAAAATATATTAACGTTGATGAGCAAAGTGTAAAAAGAGGCTGTATGGTTGCCACACGTAATAATGGACTTATGATTGAAAACTAGGAAACAAAGTTATCACAGACTAATCTGCTACCCATTGGAATTAAGTGAGATTATTACAGTTCACATATCACCATGTGTTTGTTTAATAATTTATTGATTGCACAGTAAATGCTAACAGTAATGGCTGACACCCACACACTGCATTCAATATAAATAATGGGGTCTCTGTACCTGAAGAAGGCTTCACACATTTCTGTCCGTCCCCAGAGACACAGCACTTCTCATCCGCGGCACAGTCCGAATCACGACTACACAGGACCGATGGACAAACCAGACTTTTTCCCTTTTTTATCTCACTCACAGGACAAACGCCATGTGGCTCTAATATAACAAAGAAATATACACCGAGAATTAATCCAGCCATTAGAGACATCAATAGCAAGAGAACAAAACCACGTGGCCAGTAACAAATATATGGAAAGTTGTCAAAAATTTAAACATCATAAAAATGAACATTAAAAAAAGGTCTCTTTAGAAATTCTCACAGCAAGTGAAATATGCTTCTTTGAGGCAGATTCAGACACGTTCTCCTTTGACGGAAGGACATTTCCCCTCCATCATTAATGGTTACCATACAAAGGAAGGTAGAACACCATTCTAGTAGATACAACGCAGAACATATTAAATTCAATGTACGTTTTGCTGATCCAGTGAAAATCTCAGGGACTCCTAAAGTAATGCTGGAATATTCCTTCTACCTCTCAAACAAATCATAAAAATATAATGTAATATTTTTATCACTATTTTTTGGGTGAGGAACACTGACTTTGTTTTCAAATAACTAATTATCTATTTAACAGAAACTGTAACATGGGGAGCTCTGTGACTCTGCTATACACTTATATCAGACGGACTTCATTATCACATTACCTTCCGCAGGATCCCAGCAGCTATTCCCACAAATATTACAGCATTTCTGTTTGCCGGGACAGTCACTGTCAGTCTGGCATTTGGGCTTCGGCAGTGGCAACAAACACTTAGCTTTGATAGGAGGACAGCGCCCTGGTCTCACTGCAGAGAGAATAGAAGGCAGAACATTACAAAACTGTTAATTTTAAATAAGTCAGTGTCTTGTTTAGAGAACCAACAGATCCAACAGATGTTCTACAGGAAAAACTGTTTGATTTCATAAGTAAAAGAACTGGGTGTCATGCTGGAAAAGATCTCCAGCAGACAAATGCTCTGGTAATTTATAAGACAGGTTGTCACTTCTGAATTTTGTATTCAGATAGAGAAAGAAGGGGTCCATGATGTACCTCAACAGGCTGGGTGACCGGAAAAAATGCAGGTGCCACAGGAGTAGACACAAAAAGAGGCTCTGAGAGTGAACTGTGAGCTATAAACCCTTGGAGGAAAAAGTTTGTAGGAGATAAAACCAAACATTAATGGAGAAAATGGAAACTTGTGATGTGTTCTGTATTACACTGCACACATGCATGTTGGTGTGGATGTAGTAGTAGTAGACAATAGGAAGACCTTGTGTCTTTGTTCCTGGAAAACCTTGACTCAGACCAAAAATAAAAAGTCCAGGGCAGAGACCTCTTACCTTCCTCAACGACCTCACTGCTCATTCAAGCACCCATTTTCTTTCTAGTTTTATTTTTAAACGAAAACAGTGAGCAAGAGAATACGGAGAATGGATAACAACTCAAACAACTGCCTAAGGTGCATAAGTACTTGACGAATCCACCTGGCAGGCCTATTGTATCAGGAATAACTCAGGTCCTTAGTAAGTGCAGGGAGGCGGAAGGTAAGTATACTAAGCACATGTGCTCGCTCTGACATGCTGACATGCTGTCAGAGCGAGCACATGTGCTGGGCAGCACTATCGGATGCTCCCGGTCTGCCTCTAATACAGCAATTCTAATACAGCAATTCACTCGTCGTTAAGGGGTTAAAAAAATAATAATAACATATACCGTATTTATCGGCGTATAACACGCACTTTTTCTCCCTGAAAATAGGGGGAAAATTATGGGTGCGTGTTATACGCCGGCCCTTTAAATACTGCAGCCGCCTGAGCGCTCTGTCAAGAGCGGTCAGGCGGCTGCAGTTGGTTCTCACCTCTCCTGTAGCGTGGCCGAGCTGCTCTGCTGTCCGCGGTGGCTGGCCAGACTCAGTGTGCACCTTCCTGTCAGTCCGACCGGGTACAGGAAACAGAAACTCCTATTCCGCGCATGCGCATTCAGCCGATGACGTCGCGAGCAAGGAGGAGAGGAGGAGTACAGCTCCCCGCCCAGCACTGGAGAAAGGTAAGTGTTTAACCCCTTCCTCTCTCCAGAGCCCGGCGGGAGGGGGACCCTGAGGGTGGGGGCACGAGTATGTTTTCCTGGCACTATAGTGGTCCTTTAAGTTTTTTTTGAGGTGCGTGTTATACGCCGGTGAGTGTTATACACCGATAAATACAGTATTTATGTGGCACCTTTCTCTTAGTAGGACACAGGTCTCGGAGCTGACCAGTAGTATATGTTAATGTTGCCCCATTGATCGAGCTTGTTTTGCCGATCTTGGACGGATGGGGTGTTGGGTTGGCCTTGCCGGGATTTGAACCTGCAGCCTTGCCTTTTTTTTAGCAGCCATTGCAGTCAGGGATTTTGCCAGGTAAGCTATGTCATTGGCAGGGTGTGTCTTCACTATGTTTTTGATATGTAGAATATGTGACGACATGCCACACCCCTGGTAGACTGCAGAATAGAGTTTAGATACTCCGCCCCTCAGGAACTCCCACATTGAACAGCTGATGGCCATGTTTTCATCATTAATAGGTATTTAAATGGAACAATAAGCTGCTCATGTTCACAGGCTCCTGACGACAGCGTTTTGAACATGCCGAAACGCGCGTCAAGCGTTTTCTTTTTCTTCTGCACTTGGTAGCACTTTTTTATTTTTGTTACCACTACGGTTATTGATTTTTAGGTGTTGATTTATTTATTTATAACTTTAGTAGGGAGAGTTGGTTCAGGTAGACACTAGTGGTTAGATAATGGTGTCGAGGTAACTTTTAAGGTGCATTGAGAGATTTATTTAATTATTTATTTTTTGTGAGAGGCTTTTAATCTGCGTTTAGATCGGATTACCCGGTCCCTTGTTCTCTGGGGACCCTGTGCCTCTTCTCTCTCCCTAACCTCGTTTACACTACCTTCCTGTCAGTCGGGCACTAGGGGAATTGGAACTTAGATGCTAGCTAGTACTCCAGACACTATTTAGTAGATCTCCCTTTTTTTCAAGTTATACTTTTTGTTTGCATATCCCTTTTTATCCTTAGATTGATTAAAGGTAGGGCCTCCCTTCCTCATTTCTTATACAGTGGAGCTCTCCTGATGTTGGTGTCCCCTTGTGGGACTCTACACATCACCTACTCCTATTACCTACATATTTTGGAGGGTTACCCCCTCATTAGAGCTCCCTATTAGGTGGTTACAGTGGTGCAGCTCATGAGCCCTTGACTTGTATCCGGACTCCTGACCTGCACTCTGTTTACTTTATTTCTCCATTTTGTGTAACAACTCAAACAGCTTACTCTTCGCCGGGACCCCGCTCCGCTGGCAAGCTGCTTTTAGCTCACGTTATGCCATTACAGAGAGAACCTAAGCTATTTGCACATCAGGCTGATCCCAACAGAGGGTTCAGATTCAAAATGCCCTCTGTACGAAAGATACAGCAACCCCAGATGATCATTTCAGTCTTGTTAGGCCTTATAGTCAGGTGTAGCGGATACTCCTCTAGTGAGCATGGGGTCCACATCTGGATTATGCTTTTACATTAAGGATAGCAAACAAACTAAAACAGGTTGCAAAACAATACTGAGAACAGACAAAATAACTTGCCCTTAGGTGGGCAACTATTCTGACACCTATTGAGTTTCTCTGAGCTTTTTCCCCAATTTAAATGGGTAATTCAGAAGTGGACCCCCGTGCCTAGATGGGTATCAGCTACACCTTGCTGATGACACCTATAGAAGGCCAAAACAATTGTACATGATATACATTGTGAAGATGAAATTTGTCGTATTTTTGGATCTTGACTGCCCTAATGGTTGAGGTCAGGATATGCAAATACTAGGAAGTTAAGTGTTTGAAGGAGATAAAACCAAAGAGAATTGAGAAAATGAGAAGCCTTGATGTGCTCAATATACTATATGCAATAAGTGTGTGTTGGTGGAGATAAACCAGTAAGGAATATTCTCGCTTACCTTGCACAGGGGTTACACATTTCCAGCCACAGTTGGAGCAACAGCATTTTTTGCCACTTGGACACGGACCGTCGAATTTACAGTCATCAGGCCCTGGTTTGGCCAGTGGACAGATGGAGGGATCAAACGGAGGGCACACATTGAGTAACTCTAAATCTGAAGAATGGAGTTAAGGTTAATAATTGAAAGCAGTAGAATGGATCAAAGTGAGCGAAGTAAAAAAAGATTTAGTAAAAGATTGAGTCCCCTCCTTCAATCTATAGCGACAGACCTGGCCACATGGCATAAATCGTTATTTGGCTGGTTCACTCAGAGCATATTCTAAAAATAAATACCCTACCTAAATTGTAGTACAGGTTACAAACCCTGCCCATTGCTCTACCAAAATCCTTCTTCACAACCATAACACGTCTGTTCAGTCCTTTCCTATGGGTGCACAAACACCCCAGAATCTCCCTTCAAGGCCTTATGGGCCACAAACTACAGGGAAGCTTAGGTTTGCTCAACTTGGAAGCCTATCACAAGGCAGTAATCCTAACGAGGATTTATGAATGACCACGACCCAATAATCAAAAGCACTGGGTACACCTGGAAAATATGGGCTTCCAAGCTCTGCTGTGCACCATTCCGTGTCAAGAGAGGGGTAAAACCCTTCACAACCCATCCTTCCACCCCACCATTTACCCAACATTGAGAATATGGCAACAAATCAGACTACTCTCCAATATATCCCTACACCCCTCACCTCTCTTTCCTCTAACTTACAACCCACAGTTCCACCCGGGCATGAATCCGGCCTCTTTCTCTGCCTATCACAATTCCACTTACCTTACACTCTGCTCCATTCTTACTGTTCAAAGAATTCAGGTACTAGCTGAAATCATACCCTCTACCCCACACACCCACATGCACAATGTTTGCCATTCACAGCTCACATATTTCATTAACTCAGTTCCACAATTATGAAGGGGAACCTGAGACTAGACATGTTCAGAAGTGTCGAAGTGCCGAAGTAGTAATATATTATTATTATTATGATATTTATAGAGCGCCGTCAAATTCCGCAGCGCTTTACAATGGGTGGACGAACAGACATGTAGTTGTAACCAGACAAGTTGGACACACAGGAACAGAGGGGTTGAGGGCCCTGCTCAATGAGCTTACATGCTAAGTGGGGTGTGGGGTAAAATGACACAAAAAGGTAAGGATAGTATTAGACTAATGACAGTTGCAGAAGAGGAATCAGTCAGGAGCTATTAACAGTTTGAGTGATACGCTTTTATGAAGAAGTGGGTTTTTAACGATTTTTTGAAGGAATGGAGACTGGGTGAGCATCTAACGAGGAGGGAAGCGAGTTCCACAGGAACGGTGCAGCCCTCGAGAAATCTTGAAGGCGCAGTGTATTGGAGGAGGAAGAGTTTGAGGTGGAGAAACCTTCTTGGGAGAAGGAAGGTCTGCTCTGCTCATTTGATGGAGATCATTTGCAACTTTTGGAGTTCAAAAGGAAATTCTTAATTTGGACGTTAACAAACTGTATACCAGTTTAATAAAAAGTATATAGACATAGCCAGGATTCAGCTGTAAGCATTTGCAATACTTATAACAATCAAGTAACATAGTGAATATAAAAAAGATTAAGGTTAAGAGGTTAAGAACTTAGGTGCTCCAATCACTAATGTGAGTCACTTTTCACATAAACTTAAATAATACAATATTACAAAAAGATGTGAATGGTGAGAGCACACTATACAACTTTACCCTTATTGAACATGGAATTAAACAACCACTCTTGTAGATCTAAAAACAAGAATAAAAAAAATATAGAAAAAATATAAAATGTACGTTACTTAGTCAAGGTAAGGGGATGAATAAGTAGATAACTCCCTAATTCCCACAGTATCAGGGAGCTATCTACTAAAAGGCTGAAAGACCTAAATTGGTGGATCCGTGAAAATCGAACTTAATTGATGAGCCCGAAAAATTAATTCAGTCTGTGAGTGCAATATTGATACAAGGGGCCATTTGTTGATATATGCTACTGACCCTATGAGTTTCTCTTTTCTCTGCTAATATATTTAGCTGTATCTTATTTTTGCATTTATCTTGAGGATTGAGAGGAATCCTGTCTTACACTGTACCAAAAAAGGAAGGAATTATCTTTTTTTATTTATTGTACACACACTGCACTTGGATGGTCTAATTCTTTTTTATTTATACGTCTCTAGATATACCTGTCACAGCACTCTGATTGGTTAGCTTGAAATCCAGAGTGCTCTGTGTCATTTTACACAGCGTGGGAAAGTTTCCCACGCTATGTAATTTGACTTAACAACCTGAGCGGCAGGTGGGGGCCCTAAATAAAAATGTAACTCCTCCCCTAAATGACTAGGGGTCCCCAAAACCCTAGTCACCCCCTCCCAAACAAAATTAATTAACCCCTACCTACGCCCATCACCCTAAAAATAGTGAGGGAGGACCAATAATTAAGTACCTGAAAATGAATAAATAAATCTTACTGTGAAGAAATCCCTGTTTGTGTTCGGTAAGTCTCCCCTTTTTCATGCAGTAGATGTAACTACCGAACAGAGACCAACCCCCTGGCTCGTTAACTTCAAAGCATGCCTCAATTGAACCCTCTACTTGTGCGGCCGTCGTTCGTATTGCTGAACGCCACGTTTCGGAGAAAAAGGTGGCCACCTTTTTTTTGTGCGAACAAAGGCAGCAGGACTTGGTCGTTGAGTGTCTGGAACTAAAATCGGACACTCAACTTACCGAACACCGGTCCCAACATACGAACGCTGGATCTTTATTTCCCGAACAGCTAGAAGAGCGCTGTTCGGTACTTTTGTTCATTCGTATGAGGGGAACAATCGCTGCTAGGAGCCAGGGGAAAACGTTTGTGGAATTATTCATTTTTTTCTACTTTACTAAATGGACCGGCAAAACTACCCAAACTCGTGGAACTGTTTTGGGCAGCAACCTCGCGGTAAGCCGGTCACAAAAGACTTCCATACTTTTTGCGAACCCCTGAACCTATCTGGGTGAAATTTGAATATGTTGGTCACCCAGATCGGGGCTATCAGGGGACATTATTTGTGGGAATACCATATGCATAAAGGGGTGTTCTAAATATTGGGGAAAACTGTATTTTTTCTGCCTGGAGATAATTAAGTTATTACTTTATCAGACTTGATTATCTCCAGGACAAGGGGAGGGAATTGTATGTTTGTGCTGGGAGTGCTTAATGTTTTCCTTGTTAATGATTGGAATGCATGGGGACTTGCATAAAAGCCAGTGTGTGATCATTAAAAGCCAGTTCTGTTGCACCCTTCTTCTAGACTCCGGCTGATGTTTGGGTATTCGTATGCTTTATTAAGGGAATCATCATGTAAAGCTATTGCATTCGTATGGATTTCGTTTATTTTATCTACCGAACAGAGAGCTATAATCACTGATTATCTGGCCGTTCGGAAGGAAACTACTGAATGAGGATTGGATATGCTAGGTTTCCTTACACTTACCATTTGATGTCTTTTTTCTAAAAGCCTTTTTTCAGCCCCAAAAAAGGGCAAATAAAAAAATCATAATACCTGTCGCACTTTAAAAAAAAAGAAAAGAAAATAACCTGTGCAAAGATAAATAAATCCAATGAAAAAAAAAAATTCAAACTAATCAGAGTGCTCTGTGTCATTTTACACAGCGTGGGAAAGTTCTTTGGAATTTTCCCTGGCTGTGTACTTTGACTCATAACAACACTCTGATTGGTGGATTGAAATTAACCAGAGAGTTATCAGTCAAATTACACCTCGTGGGAAAATTCCAAAGAACTTTCCTACGCTGTGTAAAATGACACAGAGCACTCTGGTGGATTTCAAGCCAACCAATCAGAGTGTTGTGACAGGTAAATGTAGAAAGTTACCTGTCAGTCTCTTCATTTACCTGTCAGAGCACTCCGATTGGATGGCTTAAACCAACCAACCAGAGTGCTCTGAGCCTAATTGCAGGGCGGGGCAAGGCTTTATAAGCCTTCCTCCACCATGCGTAGCTCAGTGTGCGCGGTGCCCTGCATGGGTGAAGATGGATTATTTTTCAGTGTTTAGTTTGTTTTTTCTCATCTGATTTTTTTGCACTATGATTTTTTTTTTCTTCCAAAGTGCGATGGTTATTATGGTTTTTTTTATTTGCCCTATTTTGGTGCTGAGAAAAGAAGATTTTAGAAAAAAAGACATCAAATGTTAAGTTGTATTTATTTATTTACAGGTACATAGTTATTGGTCCACTCTCACTATTTTTAGGGTGAGGGGGGTAGGCAGGGTGTGATGAAAGCAATTTCGCCACAGGTTTTTGGAGAGGACTAATGGCCAGCCTTTTGTCCAAAGACTATGGGCCCTGCAAAAAGACATGCTAAAAAGTGACTTCCATGGGAAAATGTGCCTCTTCCCCTCCCCCTTTTTCCTGTCCTATTGTTTCTCCAGCACAGCGTTGTCCCAGGGACACTGCCAGACCAATTTAAACTGGCTGCTTTGTCCCCCCTCAATCTCCCATCAGCCATTGCTATTGTTTAACCCCATGGCGATCCAACTGTATTCGTGAGATCTGAGTGCTTTTCTGACATATTGAGCGCTCAGATCCAAGCTATCTGAGGATATGTTGGACATATAGGTTAAACATTGTATGATAAGAGTTAAGTATCTTCATGTGGTTTTTCTAACAGTTTTTGACTTAGAGATATTTCCTGTACCTGGAGATAATTAAGTTACCACAGCCACTTAAGCCAATTATCTCCAGGATAGAGGAGAAGATAGAATGGCCGCACAGCCTAAATCTGTGGAACTATTCTGGGCATGAAAGCCATGCTTTAAGTCGGTCAAAAGATCAGGGCTATCAAGGGATGTATAATTTGTGGGGATATGTGGTGTTTTCTGTGTTTTGTGAAAAATGTGTGTTTTCTGTCTGTGGGTAATCCACTGTGTTTGTTAATTGTTGTTAAGACCTGCAGTGGTTATGGTGCTGCGGTCTTGGTTCCCTCTCCCAACAGCTGAGCATGAGTGATTATAGCTGCAGCAGGGAGTAGAGGAATAGAATAGATGAAATGTAGTTCCAATGTGATTCTTCCCAACAAGTAGAATATCCCCCAAACATGAGCCTAGACTTCATGAAGGGTGTAACAGGAATAATGAGCACAGGCTTTTATGAGAAATCCTCCTGCAAGAGGACCTCCCACAGCAAACAAAAGCAACAGCCAATCATCACACAGATTCACAGTATTACACGCCTCCTCTGTGCCTGGGAGATCTTGAGATAAATTAAGGACTAAACCAATTATCTCCAGGCAGAGAGCACACAATATCCCCAAAACTTAGAACACCCCTTTCCCCACAAGGTATCCCCACAAATTACATATCCCCTGATAGCCCCGATCTGGGGGACAAACATATCCAAATTTCACCCAGATTGGTCCAAGGGTTCTGAAAAAGTGTGGAGGGTCCCTTTTACCGACCACACATGCAGCTCCTGCCCAAAACAGTTCCATGAATTCAGCGTGTGCAGTCGGTCAATTCACAAAACTGAAAAAAACGAATAAAACTCCTGAATGGATTCCCCTGGCTTATAGTAGCGATTGCTCCCCTTGTCCGTTCGCACAGAACTACCGAATGAGGCTTTCCTGGCTGTTCGGGAAGTATGAGAAGCCGGCGTTCGGTAGTTTCCAGCGTACGAACAAGATGGCCACCGTTTTCTTTTCCACGTGGCGTTCGGTTATACGAACATCGGCCGCCCAGGGAGCACTTAATAGCTAGTTTTCTTTGAAGTAAATGAGCCAGGAGGGTGGTCGGCGTTCGGTAGTTTCAAACTACCGAACCAATCCATTCAATATACAAATATTCACATATAAAAAATACCGAATAAAAAGGGAGAAAATAACAGGTAAAAGTCTATTTTCTTCACAATTGTAAAACAGGCAGAGGGAAGGGCTTGTGTACATTATCTGGGAGAGTCTATCTGTACAAACCTGTTTTGATTGGCTTTGTAACTTTGTGTCCTGTGCTTCACAAGGTCCACATGGGTGGTAACCTTGTGGGAAAACCTGTATAAAAGAGACAAACCCTCAGACTGCTGAGTTCCTGTTTTACCCTCAACATAGAACCTCGTCTTATTTGTGGGGGGAAAAGGCTGCATCTACACTGGGGGATTGCTATACTCTGTATACTCTCCTGGGCTATAATTACTAAGCTCTTTTAAGGGCTATTCCTGCTTAACTCTCTGGAGAAAGAGAGGGTCACCCACTGGAACCTGGAGGCTTGTCGTAGGTCCAGGGTGGGTAGAGGACGGCGAGTTCCCAGCCAAGCTGTGGCGGTTCTGATGGTCCTTGGTAAGCACTAGGAGCATCGATTGACGGAGGGTCCATCACATAGGGGTTAATAAATTTTGTTTGGGAAGGGGGTTTGGGTACCTCTAGTCACCTGGGGGGGGTTACATTTTTATTTCTGGCCCCCACCCGCCGCCCAGGGGGTGGGGGCCGGGGGGGAGGACAATATGTCCCCCCCTTATTCTAATTTAGGGCCCCAAACCCACCACAGGCTGCTCACTGTTTAATAAACATTCCCCTACTAGTAAATTTGGCTGAAAACCAATTTAGGTCTTTCAGCCTTTTGGTAGATAGTTCCCCAATACCGTGGAAATTAGGGAGTTATTTACTAAGCGGCTGCAAGAGAACAGCCAAAGTCCCGAAATTCCGAAGTGCCGAAGTTGCCGAAGTCCCGAATTTTGGAATGCCGAACCGAATATTTTCTCTATGCACATCCCTGAGACCGATCACAATTCAAGAAACTATACAACAAACCGCCCATAAAATCCAAACACCTATTGATTTTCAAAAAACAAAAAAAATTCAGTTTTCATAGAAATGTTTATTTAGAAAAGTACAGTATAAAAAAAAAAATACAAAAAAAGTACTGACACTGGACGTCCTCGCGCTCGTAGGGCTTCAAAATAAACAAAAGAGACAATTTATTTTAAGGAGATGGGCATTTGCATATAACCAACGTTTCAGTCTAACTACCTTGACATATTACAAAAATGTTTGGTAATGGGACTGAAATGGTGAATGGATGTTGTTGCACAGCTGTAAAAAAAAACCAAAACAAATGACATTATCTTGTTTATTTTGAAGTTCTATGAATGTGTTCTTCACTTTGGCTTAGAACAACAAACTTGGTAGGAAAGCATTGGGAGGCTATTGTGCATGTGTGGCAAAACGCTTTGTGGCCAATCAGCATCTCCACGGGGAGCGTTCAACGCCTCCATACAGACCCAATCTAATACACTGCCCACCCTCCCTCCACTCTAATACACTGCCCACAAATCCAATAAACTAAAAGGTTATTACAAATATATAATATACTTATACTTTTACCGGAAGCCTCCTGTCATAATTTTAATTTATAGATATTATCTATTATAATTATTCTCCTTTATCTCTTACCATTTCTTCCGTTCGTTGTATAGTCCTTTTAGCCTTTTAACGATTAGGTATACTTATATTTTTTCTTTTTATATATCTTTAATATTCTGTCTTTTAATTATACCTTTTACGTTATCTCTATGTATGTATATATATACAATACATACTGTCTATGTGTATTTTTACAGCAAATTTACTTATTCCATTCATTGATTCCATGCATGTTTCAAATATCTCTTAATTATTTTTATATGTGATCATTCTTGCAACTTAAATTATGTTTATATGTGATCATTCTTGCAACTTACATTTTTATTATTGATATTTATTACTGTATTCATGAATGTACCCATTCCAGTGTATTTATGTATGTGTATCTTTATTTTAATTTTATTTTATTTTATTTTCTATTAACACATTAAGGGTTAAATATTTAGTACATCATCCTTGTATGAACGATCCTTATGTTACCAATTGCAATCAGTCAGATGTACATTTATAAACAGCACAGACTACTGAATCTTCATACCGTCTCTGATGAAGTGGGGCTGACACCCACGAAACGCGTTAGACCATATCAGACCGAGCAGGATACGGACGCAGAATTTTGAAGCCAGCAACCAGCAACCCCCACTTACCGAGAGTACGATACCTAAAGATCTGGGGACCGACCGGCCAGTAAGCATGCATCACTCAGAGTGAGGTCTGGGACGCACGCCAACCTCACAGCCGACAGCCAGAGATTACAGTTTATGCAACACTGTATCCACATCCATCCTGGATGGTCCCTGCATTTTATCTGACACAAGGACTGCTAAAGTGCTGGTAATTTTCTTGCAATACGTTCCTGACTCATATTTTTTATTACTGTTTATATTTTAATATATATTTTTAGTATTTTTCAAGATGCCCAATAAACTTTGTATTTATTTTATTTACTTATTTTTTTAATTATCTTTTTATTATTATTCTAAGTGATACGGTGATTTATAGTCATATAACCGTATACTCATTATACACAGTTTCTATTTTTATCGTTCATTCTCTGCTACTAAGCATGACATTTGGCACACCATCTGCCTCACTTGATTAATCGTATATTTAAAGTCATATTATACATAATGGTGATAATTTTTTACATATAGGAAACAGTTCCTCATACTGTTTTCCTATACATTCTTCTCCAGTCTCCATCTTTGAGTTTTAAGTAGATTATTTTGGTGTGTAGCAAGTTTGACTCTGCCTCTAGCAGATTTAAAGCCATACACCCCATATATGCAAGTGTTGCATTTTTCTCCTAGAATATCAGGATATATAAAAGCCTTTTCAAGCGAACTGACTCCTGGACCCCATTGCACCTAACTTTAGGTGCACACCAAACCACTTTAGTTTCAGGCAGAGTACTGGGTGAAATCTCTGCCCATATCCAGTTTGAGACATTCCACTACAAGTCAGACTCCCTCACTCCTGGGTGTTGCAATAGGCACACCAGACCAATTTTATATTTTAATTCACCTATAATCATCATATACACTCTGCACGATTGGTCCTCTCTTCTTGTGTCTTCCATATCACGAGACGATCTGCACTACTATAAACAGAGAAGATACCTCACCAGCTGAAATATTGCTTGAGACAACTTAATACCACAGATCAATTTTATATATATTGGGACTAATTTTATACAATAATTTTTACTACCTTTATATCATTTCTTTTGGCGCAGCCTCTCTTTTCTCTTGTTTTATAAATTTCTGGGACTCATTGGCGGATCCAGGGGGGGGGGCAACGGGGCAATTGCCCCCCCCGAGATTCCCCCCTGCCGGCTAACGCAGGGCTGGCATTGCCCAAGTGCCAGCCCTGCAATGTGCCTGCGGGCCGGGGAGGAAGATCAGAGATCTCCCTCCCCGGTCCGCAGCCACTGTGCTGGCAGCCGGCGGCGGAGGGAGGGAGGGAGTGAGAGGGAGGATCCGGAGCTCAGTCTGCAGCTCCTCCGGGTCCTCCTCTCTCGAGATTTGGAGCGTTGCCACGGTTACCACGGCAATGCTCCAAATCTCGCGAGAGTGAACTCTAGCCCGGGAGCGCGGGCTAGAGTTCACTCAGACCACCTGACCACCAGGGAAATGTCCCCCCTCTTCCTAAATAAAGGTAAGAAGGGAGGGGGGACATAGGATATTTATTTCCTTTCCCCCATAAATACACTGCCCCCCCATTACACACACACTGCCCCCCCAATTACACACACTGCCCCCCTACACACACTGTCCCCATACACACACACTGCCCCCAAACACTGTCCCCATACACACACTGCGTCCCCATACACACACTGCGTCCCCATACACACACTGCCCCACAAACACTGTTCCCATACGTACATTGCCCCCCATACACACACTGCCCCACAAACACTGTCCCCATACACACACTGCCCCCCATACACACACACTGCCCCACAAACACTGTCCCCATACACACATTGTCCCCCATACACACACTGCCCCAAAAACACACACAGTGCCCCCATACATACACTGCCCCCTAACACTGTCCCTATACACACTGCCCCCATACACACACACTGCGTCCCCCATACACACACTGCCCCACAAACACTGTCCCCATAATGCATATTGCCCCCCATACACACACTGCCCCACAGGTCCCCTATACACACACTATGCCCCCATACACACACTGCGTCCCCATACACACACTGCCCCACAAACACTGTCCCCATACGTACATTGCCCCCCATACACACACTGCCCCACAAACACTCTCTCCATACACACACTGCCCCACAAACACTGTCCCCATACACACACACTGCCCCCATACACACACTTCCCCACAAACATTGTCCCCATATACACACTGCCCCTCCATACACACACTGTCCCCATACACACACTGCCCCACAAACACTGTCCCCCATACACACACTGTCCCCATACACACACTGCCCCCATACACACACTGCCCCCATACACACACTGCCCCACAAACACACACTGCCCCACAAACACTGTCCCTGACATACACTGCCGCACTCACACACTTCACCCTTAACACACACCACTGCTCCTATACCCTATATCCCAGCAGACCCCAGGTAAGTTGTCAAACTGTTCTTAAACGGTATGACTACTTACTCTGGGGTGGAATCCTGGCACTACTGACACCATAACTACTACACTGAGCTGTAGTGGTTATTGTGCCTGGATTATTTATTTAAATAATCTACAAGTGCCCCTCCCGAGATCAGGCTCTGGATCCGCCACTGCTGGGACTACCTACTTATCTGATGAGAATATCTACATAACTGGTAATTATAATGGTTTCATTTAATTAATTTAAATTAATTAAAATTTACTAATAGCATGATATATGACTGGATAAATCACGGTCAGATTTCATATTTAGAAATCTTAGTTAACTAAAGAATATATAGTTATAAACATTCCATTCTGCAGGTGGAATTAAGAATAATTATATATTAATGTGATCGTATCACATGTTAGCATACCGCTGTTTTTATCCAGGTGTATTGATTTGCTCTAAAATAAGATAAGATATCTTTTTAGGCAAATTAAAATTCGGCTTTTGTAAAAATCTGGTAGTTTATTCTTATTGGATGGTTCCAGGAAATGATTAATGAGCTGATTTGAATGTTAATTTAATTGAAAATCACATGAGAATATGATATTATATGCCTAGGTGGATCTAGCCAGCATTGAAAGGGTTACTCAGTTGATTTAACTGTTAGCCAAGATTTTATGGCTTTTCGCTGTGTGAAGCTTTACTTTTGGTCTTTAAAGTACCCTCATAAATCTTATTAAGTGACAGGTGATGCTGTTAGCCATTGGAACGTGTATAGCCAATCCATTGTATTGCATACTTATGTTATACTAAATATTCACTGATTATTATCATGCATGCTGCCTAATATTATTATTATTTAATTGGTTACAATACATTAAATCTATTTTTATAACAAATTGTGATTTTATTTGTATGGAATACATTTCACTTACATGATAAACAATCTCTAAGATCTAAGAGAATTGAAATAGTGGGCAATTGTCGACTGTTTAATATTATCATCCCATAAATATCCCCACAGTATGTTCACTGTGAGCCACATGCGGCCCGCATCTAAAACAACAGCCACCCTCACACCCAAATTATATGTCACGTTGGGCCGAGGATCTCCACATCTCCTTCACAGATAAAGAATACAAATGCTTCACCAATTTATTCTGTATTTCTCTAAGCAACACCACCCAAGAAGATAATTAGACACGCACGCACAAACAACATTTATTCTCCAATTCCCCCAACTCCTTTTAGAGGTGCAGGCTCTCTAGAGGCACCCCATGCCACATATGGTGGTCTTGTGAACCAATTAAATCCTTATGGAAGAGAATAATCACACTCATCCATTTAATCTCCGAAATTCATCTGCTGACCCGACCGCAAGACCATGCTTTTCCTCCTCTACCCAAAGCCAAAACCCTAGTTGAAAACTCATAAAACTCCTAACTGCAGCAAATCTATTAATTCCCATTTACTGGAGAAAAAAAACGGTCACTCCATCACTTAGAGATTGGATCAGCAAAGATGAATCCATCAGTGTTGTAACGGACCGTTTTGCCCAAAAGGGGTTAAAAAACGTTTAGGTGATAATCCCCTTTCCCATAGACCAGCAGCTACTGCAATCACCAATCTCCCGAACTCCAAACTGTACGAATCCCCAACTCCCGAACAGGAAACACACGAACCCTGGAAGCAGCCGAACAAGAAAAGCCCTAAGAACAGCTTACTCTCCTGGCAATCGGCATACAGTCAAATTCCCCCCAAGAATGAGACGACACTTCACTTGGAGGGTTAAACAGGAACAACCCTGATTTATTCACACAACAGGCTTATAAAGGATTCTCCCATGCAAGGGAGGGATTTACAACAATTACACAATACACCAATCACACATGAGTTACCTCCCACAATGCCTCACAATCCCTCCCCTCTGGCCTGGAGATAATTGGGGAAGGAATCTAATTATCTCCCAGGACAGAGGCAAAACTCCATTACCCACATGGCAGACAAAAAGACAGTAAAAGACATAAAATTACATACTGATACATTTAGTACATAAAACACACATTTCTACACATCCCCAGATAGCTTTGATCTGAGTGCACATTATTAGATGAATGGCACTCAGATCTCACGAATAAGCCTTTCTGCAGGGAAAATAAATGGTTTAACCTGCAGGGCCATAGTCCAAAGGGAGCAGGCGAGCAACCAGGCTTCTCCAGTTCACAGTGGCGAGGTTGGTTTCGCCACACTTCTCCCCAACTAGACTAACAGGGTATCTGACCTCCTGCCGGTCAGTGCCCTGGTTAGTCCAGCAACCCACCCACAAAACAGAAACAGCAGTACAGCCCACCCACAATAAATGGTTACTACACCTGGGTAGAGGAGAGCTTTGTCCATGTCCAGGTGCCTCACTACGACTGTGTGGGGAACTGTTAGGCTGCCTTGGTGGGTTGCTGAGTGGGCAGGTACTCTGCCCTGGTGCCAGTACTACCGTGGAAGTAGCCTGGTTGGAGCCTGGTTGTGGGAGGGAGAGACCGACTGTCTCCCCTCTGGATATACCGCTCTGTGGCTGGGGGACACGACCGACCGTCCTTACCCCTTGTGCTGCAAGTACAGAGACTACGGTCCCATCTGCACCATTGGGGGGTGTAACATCTCCCCTTGGTGGGTTAGGCTGCCGCTGGAGAGAGGGTGTAACAAGCTCCTCTCTCTGGACTGTAAACTGCTGCTGGGGAGAGGGGGTATCAGGCTCCTCTCCCTGACACTCTCTCTGCTGGTGGAGAGGGGGACCAGCTGTCTCCCCTTTCATTATCTTGTCCTGCGGCTGGGGGGCAAGACTGACAGTCCCTGCTCCCTGCAGGATATTCTGCCACTGGGGAGGAAGGACAACACCTTCAGCTCCCTGGGGTACACACTGCCGCTGGGGAGGAAGGACTACACCTTCTGCTCCCTGGGATATACACTGCCGCTGGGGAGGAAGGACGGCACCTTCAGCTCCCTGGGGTACACACAGCCGCTGGGGAGGAAGGACAACACCTTCAGCTCCCTGGGGTACACACTGCCGCTGGGGAGGAAGGACAGCACCTTCAGCTCCCTGGGACACACACTGCCGCTGGGGAGGAAGGACGACACCTTCAGCTCCCTGGGATACACACTGCCGCTGGGGAGGAAGGACTGCACCTTCTGCTCCCTGGGACACACACTGCCGCTGGGGAGGAAGGACGGCACCTTCTGCTCCCTGGGATACACACTGCCGCTGGGGAGGAAGGACGGTACCTTCAGCTCCCTGGGATACACACTGCCGCTGGGGAGGAAGGACGGCACCTTCGGCTCCCTGGGACACACACTGCCGCTGGGGAGGAAGGACGACACCTTTGGCTCCCTGGGACACACACTGCCGCTGGGGAGGAAGGACAACACCTTCTGCTCCCTGGGGTACACACTGCCGCTGGGGAGGAAGGACGACACCTTCAGCTCCCTGGGATACACACTGCTGCTGGGGAGGAAGGACGGCACCTTCAGCTCCCTGGGACACACACTGCCGCTGGGGAGGAAGGACGGCACCTTCAGCTCCCTGGGATACACACTGCCGCTGAGGAGGAAGGACTGCACCTTCTGCTCCCTGGGACACACACTGCCGCTGGGGAGGAAGAACGACACCTTCAGCTCCCTGGGATACCCTTCTGAGTCCCCGTAACGCACTCTGCCACCGGATAGGGCGGCCGATACCTTTGGCTGGATCTGCCATGAACTGCAGGTACTCGTCTACCTGGCTCCTTACGAACTGCACGCATCTCTCCGGGGGGTTGGGTCCAAAGAAAGGCATCTGCGTGGTAAATTCTCTGTCATACTGCTCCTGAGTGTAGCTGGGTGCCATGCTTGCCCTGCTGCCCTCCATTTGTAAGTCCAGGGGATGGTGTTACCTTGTAGCTGTCCTTCTGGACTGTGGGAATGATCCCGTCGCTTGCCACCAATTGTAACGGACCGTTTTGCTCAAAAGGGGTTAAAAAACGTTTAGGCGATAATCCCCTTTCCCATAGACCAGCAGCTACTGCAATCACCAATCTCCCGAACTCCAAACTGTACGAATCCCCAACTCCCGAACAGGAAACACACAAACCCTGGAAGCAGCCGAACAGGAAAAGCCCTAAGAACAGCTTACACTCCTGGCAATCGGCATACAGTCAAATTCCCCCCAAGAATGAGACGACACTTCACTTGGAGGGTTAAACAGGAACAACCCTGATATATTCACACAACAGGCTTATAAAGGATTCTCCCATGCAAGGGAGGGATTTACAACAATTACACAATACACCAATCACACATGAGTTACCTCCCCCAATGCCTCACAATCCCTCCCCTCTGGCCTGGAGATAATTGGGGAAGGAATCTAATTATCTCCCAGGACAGAGGCAAAACTCCATTTACCCACATGGCAGACAAAAAGACAGTAAAAGACATAAAATTACATACTGATACATTTAGTACATAAAACACACATTTCTACACATCCCCAGATAGCTTTGATCTGAGCACACATTGTTAGATGAATGGCACTCAGATCACATGAATAAGCCTTTCTGCAGGGAAAATAAATGGTTTAACCTGCAGGGCCATAGTCCAAAGGGAGCAGGCGAGCAACCAGGCTTCCACAGTTCACAGTGGCGAGGTTGGTTTCGCCACAAGTGTCATGGAGGAACTACTCATTATCAAACTCATCCACCCAATATCATGACTGCTGGAAACCCTGGCTAGACCATCTTTGACTTAAGTCAGGCCTACACCCAACATAATGCCCCACTATTAGACCTTTTTCTCCAATCTGAGCTCAATTACCTGAAAAAGGAGTATATGGCCACATAAATGGTACTTACTCCAACATACCCTGACACTCATATGCTCAACGAGCACCATATTCAATTTATGTTTTCTATTTTGTTACTCTATCAGATGTGCAAATTGCTAGTCCATGTTTGATTTACCTGGGATCGCCTCATCCATATACACATGCTATTCTCACAGGGTACGAGAATTGACACTGCCTGGTGTGAACTCTGCATTATTGCAAGTCGAGGATCGCCTGGACCGCAATGTACGGTATTGTAACTATTTATGCCCTGTATATCTACAAATTCTACCTCTCTACGACCCAAAGGAATACTGTTGTTACAATGTCATAGAGACACTCTATAGGACTATGTAATGTTATTCATGTTTTAAATATATGGATTTTTAACATAAGACTTCAAATAAAAAAATTAAAGTGGTCTCTGTACCTGGAGAAGGCTTCACACATTTCTGTCCGTCCCCAGAGACACAGCATTTCTCATCCGCGGCACAGTCCGAATCCCGACTACACAGTACAGACGGACAAACCAGACTTTTCCTCTTCTTAGTCTCACCCACGGGACAAACGCCATGTGGCTCTGTAATAATCAAGGTAAATACAATGACAGTACAAGTTACAACCAAAGAACGAGACTAGTTTTCAGAGAATCACAAAATATTATCATTTAAAGGTAAACTACAAGCACCATACTATAGGCCGCTGTAATTGCTATGGAGCCTGAAGTGCCCTGGCATTCCCCCACAGTAAGGACTCAGACCATATTTTGATTCCATACCTGGGGTCCACCAAGCGGCTCACTATCTCCACTACCAATGCCAGAAATCTGCAAGGCTTAGATCATTGGCTGAGAGGGATCAGCTGATTATGTTTGCAGCTTGCAATCTAAAGAACACGTTTCCATGTAATCTCCCAATCTGTAATATCCCTCTACATTCAGTCTCCCAATCTGTAATATCCCTTTACATTCAGTCTCCCAATCTGTAATATCCCTTTACATTCAGTCTCCCAATCTGTAATATCCCTTTACATTCAGTCTCCCAATCTGTAATATCCCCTTTACATTCAGTCTCCCAATCTGTAATATCCCTTTACATTCAGTCTCCCAATCTGTAATATCCCCTTTACATTCAGTCTCCCAATCTGTAATATCCCCTTTACATTCAGTCTCCCAATCTGTAATATCCCTTTACATTCTGTCTCCCAATCTGTAATATCCCTTTACATTCAGTCTCCCAATCTGTAATATCCCCTTTACATTCAGTCTCCCAATCTGTAATATCCCTTTACATTCAGTCTCCCAATCTGTAATATCCCCTTTACATTCAGTCTCCCAATCTGTAATATCCCCTTTACATTCAGTCTCCCAATCTGTAATATCCCCTTTACATTCAGTCTCCCAATCTGTAATATCCCCTTTACATTCAGTCTCCCAATCTGTAATATCCCCTTTACATTCAGTCTCCCAATCTGTAATATCCCTTTACATTCAGTCTCCCAATCTGTAATATCCCTTTACATTCAGTCTCCCAATCTGTAATATCCCCTTTACATTCAGTCTCCCAATCTGTAATATCCCCTTTACATTCAGTCTCCCAATCTGTAATATCCCTTTACATTCAGTCTCCCAATCTGTAATATCCCTTTACATTCTGTCTCCCAATCTGTAATATCCCCTCTACATTCAGTCTCCCAATCTGTAATATCCCCTTTACATTCAGTCTCCCAATCTGTAATATCCCTTTACATTCAGTCTCCCAATCTGTAATATCCCTTTACATTCAGTCTCCCAATCTGTAATATCCCCTCATTCAGTCTCCCCAATCTGTAATAATAAGCCTTTGCATTCAGTCCCCAATCTGTAATATCGCCTTTACATTCAATCTCACAATCTGTATCCCTTTACATTCGGTCTTTCCCCAATCTGTAATATCCCTTTACATTCAGTCTCCCAATCTGTAGTAATATCCTTCCTCTCCCAATCTGTAATATCCACTTTTACATTCAGTCTCCCAATCTGTAATATCCCGCATTCAGTCTCCCAATCGTAATATCCTTTACATTCAGTCTCCCAATCCTGTAATATCCCTCTACATTCAGTCTCCAATCTGTAATATCCTTTACATTCAGTCTCCCAATCTGTATCCCTTTACATTCAGTCTCCCAATCTGTAATATCCTTGCATTCAGTCTCCCAATCTGTAATATCCCTTTACATTCAGTCTCCCAATCTGTAATATCCCCTCTACATTCAGTCTCCCAATCTGTAATATCCCCTTTACATTCAGTCTCCCAATCTGTAATATCCCCTCTACATTCAGTCTCCCAATCTGTAATATCCCCTTTACATTCAGTCTCCCAATCTGTAATATCCCCTAACATTCAGTCTCCCAATCTGTAATATCCCTTTACATTCAGTCTCCCAATCTGTAATATCGCCTTTACATTCAATCTCCCAATCTGTAATATCCCCTTTACATTCAGTCTCCCAATCTGTAATATCCCCTTACATTCAGTCTCCCAATCTGTAATATCCCTTTACATTCACTCTCCCAATCTGTAATATCCCTTTACATTCAGTCTCCCAATCTGTAATATCCCCTCTACATTCAGTCTCCCAATCTGTAATATCCCCTCTACATTCAGTCTCCCAATCTGTAATATCCCTTTACATTCAGTCTCCCAATCTGTAATATCCCCTCTACATTCAGTCTCCCAATCTGTAATATCCCCTCTACATTCAGTCTCCCAATCTGTAATATCCCCTTTACATTCAGTCTCCCAATCTGTAATATCCCCTTACATTCAGTCTCCCAATCTGTAATATCCCTTTACATTCACTCTCCCAATCTGTAATATCCCTTTACATTCACTCTCCCAATCTGTAATATCCTTGGTGCCACTGATACTGTAATATCCCCTCTACATTCAGTCTCCCAATCCTGTACATTATCCCCTCTACATTCAGTCTCCCAATCTGTGTATCCTTTGCATTCAGTCTCCCAATCTGTAATATCCCCTCTACATTCAGTCTCCCAATCTGTAATATCCCCTTTACATTCAGTCTCCCAATCTGTAATATCCCCTTACATTCAGTCTCCCAATCTGTAATATCCCTTTACATTCAGTCTCCCAATCTGTAATATCCCTTTACATTCAGTCTCCCAATCTGTAATATCCCTTTACATTCAGTCCCCCAATCTGTAATATCGCCTTTACATTCAGTCTCCCAATCTGTAATATCGCCTTTACATTCAGTCCCCCAATCTGTAATATCGCCTTTACATTCAATCTCCAAATCTGTAATATCCCCTTTACATTCAGTCTCCCAATCTGTAATATCCCCTTACATTCAGTCTCCCAATCTGTAATATCCCTTTACATTCACTCTCCCAATCTGTAATATCCCCTTTACATTCAGTCTCCCAATCTGTAATATCCCCTTACATTCAGTCTCCCAATCTGTAATATCCCTTTACATTCAGTCTCCCAATCTGTAATATCCCCTTTACATTCAGTCTCCCAATCTGTAATATCCCTTTACATTCACTCTCCCAATCTGTAATATCCCCTCTACATTCAGTCTCCCAATCTGTAATATCCCCTTTACATTCAGTCTCCCAATCTGTAATATCCCTTTACATTCACTCTCCCAATCTGTAATATCCCCTCTACATTCAGTCTCCCAATCTGTAATATCCCCTTTACATTCAGTCTCCCAATCTGTAATATTCCCTTTATATTCAGTCCCCCAATCTGTAATATCGCCTTTACATTCAGTCCCCCAATCTGTAATATCGCCTTTACATTCAGTCTCCCAATCTGTAATATCCCTTTACATTCACTCTCCCAATCTGTAATATCCCCTCTACATTCAGTCTCCCAATCTGTAATATCCCCTTTACATTCAGTCTCCCAATCTGTAATATCCCTTTACATTCACTCTCCCAATCTGTAATATCCCCTCTACATTCAGTCTCCCAATCTGTAATATCCCCTTTACATTCAGTCTCCCAATCTGTAATATTCCCTTTATATTCAGTCCCCCAATCTGTAATATCGCCTTTACATTCAGTCCCCCAATCTGTAATATCGCCTTTACATTCAGTCTCCCAATCTGTAATATCCCCTTTACATTCAGACTCCCAATCTGTAATATCCCCTTTCCATTCAGTCTCCCAATCTGTAATATCCCTTTACATTCAGTCCCCCAATCTGTAATATCACCTTTACATTCAGTCTCCCAATCTGTAATATCCCCTTTACATTCAGTCTCCCAATCTGTAATATCCCTTTACATTCAGTCCCCCAATCTGTAATATCGCCTTTACATTCACTCTCCCAATCTGTAATATCGCCTTTACATTCTGTCTCCCAATCTGTAATATCCCCTTTACATTCAGTCTCCCAATCTGTAATATCCCTTTACATTCAGTCTCCCAATCTGTAATATCGCCTTTCATTGTGTTGAAAATCTTTTTTGCACCATTTTGCCGGTGCACTCACATTGAGCTCACCATTAACGATTTATAGATTTTTACAGGGGTAGGTAACCTTCGGCACTCTAGATGTTGTGGGCTACATCTTCTTGTAGTTTGACTGTAGGAGCGTCATGGGAGATGTTGCCCACAACACCTGGAGTGCAAAAGGATGCCTACCAATATACAGAACATCTTCACAGATTCAGTGGATAAATATGGACTTTAGGAAAAGTGAAACTAGTTAGACATTTTCTAATAATCATGGTTATGGTGCTCTGGGGAAATGTGAGCCATGAAACCTTATTGAATTACGCACAGTTATCATGCAGAATTACCTTCTGCTGGATTCCAGCAGCTATTCCCACAAATATTACAGCATTTCTGTTTGCCGGGACAGTCACGATCAGCTTGGCATGTGGGCTCCGGTGGTGGGAACTTACATCTGACTACAATAGGGGGACAGCGCCCAGGTTTTACTGCAAAAAGGACACAATGAATTGCAGGTAATATGTTACAAGTCAGTGAATTAGAAATACAGTCACATTGAGCAGAATGGATGGATTCCAGAGACGTTCCGTAGGCGAATGCCGCCACATATAAGGAGTTAAAAATTGTAGACACTCAGAAAAAGATATGAAAAGTCCAAAGATAGAATGAAAGTTGTAGATAATGTATAGAGAAATCCAAGGATCCCAGAACTGGCCAACGAGATGCCTGGACTGGATGTGTGACTGGGCAGAGCAGGTGTGGAAGGAGACTATAAAACAAGGATCAGGGAGATGATATTTGTCCAGAGAGAGATCTGTGGAGCAGAATACAAGGAGGTAAAGTGTTTGGAGGAGATAAAACCAAAGAGAATGGAGAAAATGGGAAGCCATGATGTGCTCAATATACTATATGCAATGAGTTTATGTTGGTGCAGATGAATCAGTAAGGAATATTCTCGCTAACCTTGCACGGGGGGGACACATTTCCAGCCACAGTTGGAGCAACAGCATTTTTTGCCACTTGGACACGGACTGTCGAATTTACAGTCATCAGGCCCCGGTTTGGCCAGTGGACAGATAGAGGGATCAAACGGAGGGCACACATTGAGTAAATCTAAATCTGAAGAATGGAGAAAACAAAGTCAGTAAAATATATTAACGTTGATGAGCAAAGTGTAAAAAGAGGCTGTATGGTTGCCAGAAACATATTGGGTCAATCCACACGTAATAATGGACTTATGATTGAAAACTAGGAAACAAAATTATCACAGACTAATCTGCTACCCATTGGAATTAAGGGAGATTATTACAGTTCACATATCACCATGTGTTTGTTTAATAATTTATTGATTCCTCAGTAAATGCTAACAGTAATGGCTGACACCCACACACTGCATTCAATATAAATAATGGGGTCTCTGTACCTGAAGAAGGCTTCACACATTTCTGTCCGTCCCCAGAGACACAGCACTTCTCATCCGCGGCACAGTCCGAATCACGACTACACAGGACCGATGGACAAACCAGACTTTTTCCCTTTTTTATCTCACTCACAGGACAAACGCCATGTGGCTCTAATATAACAAAGAAATATACACCGAGAATTAATCCAGCCATTAGAGACATCAATAGCAAGAGAATAAAACCACGTGGCCAGTAACAAATATATGGAAAGTTGTCAAAAATGTAAACATCATAAAAATGAACATTAAAAAAAAAGGTCTCTTTAGGAATTCTCACAACAAGTGAAATATGCTTCTTTGAGGCAGATTCAGACACGTTCTCCTTTGACGGAAGGACATTTCCCCTCCATCATTAATGGTTACCATACAAAGGAAGGTAGAACACCATTCTAGTAGATACAACGCAGAACATATTAAATTCAATGTATGTTTTGCTGATCCAGTGAAAATCTCAGGGACTCCTAAAGTAATGCTGGAATATTCCTTCTACCTCTCAAACAAATCATAAAAATATAATGTAATATTTTTATCACTATTTTTTGGGTGAGGAACACTGACTCCTGTGAAGGTGCAACTCAATGGACTTTGTTTTCATATAACTAATTATCTATGTAACAGAAACTGTAACATGGGGAGCTCTGTGACTCTGCTTTACACTTATATCAGACAGACTTCATTATCACATTACCTTCCGCAGGATCCCAGCAGCTATTCCCACAAATATTACAGCATTTCTGTTTGCCGGGACAGTCACTGTCCGTCTGGCATTTGGGCTCCGGCAGTGGCATCAAACACTTAGCTTTGATAGGAGGACAGCGCCCTGGTCTCACTGCAGAGAGAATAGAAGGCAGAACATTACAAAACTGTTAATTTTAAATAAGTCAGTGTCTTGTTTAGAGAACCAACAGATCCAACAGATGTTCTACAGGAAAAACAGTTTGATTTCATAAGTAAAAGAACTGGGTGTCATGCTGGAAAAGATCTCCAGCAGACAAATGCTCTGGTAATTTATAAGACAGGTTGTCACTTCTGAATTTTGTATTCAGATAGAGAAAGAAGGGGTCCATGATGTACTTCAACAGGCTGGGTGACCGGAAAAAATGCAGGTGCCACAGGAGTAGACACAAAAAGAGGCTCTGAGAGTGAACTGTGAGCTATAAACCAATGGAGGAAAAAGTTTGTAGGAGATAAAACCAAACAGTAATGGAGAAAATGGAAACTTGTGATGTGTTCTGTATTACACTGCACACATGCATGTTGGTGTGGATGTAGTAGCAGTAGACAATAGGAAGACCTTGTGTCTTTGTTCCTGGAAAACCTTGACTCAGACCAAAAATAAAAAGTCCAGGGCAGAGACCTCTTACCTTCCTCAACGACCTCACTGCTCATTCAAGCACCCATTTTCTTTCTAGTTTTATTTTTAAACGAAACCAGTGAGCAAGAGAATACGGAGAACGGATAACAACTCAAACAACTGCCTAAGGTGCATAAGTCCTTGACGAATCCACCTGGCAGGCCTATTGTATCAGGAAGGGATAATCTAACCCAGAATGCAAGCAATTTACCATCATACATCAGAGATACAAAACAAATGTTACACTGGTTAAAGAACCTAAGGGTACCAGAAGAAGCCATCTTATGTAGCCTGGACGTAGAGGCATTATATAGCTCCGTCCCCCATAAATTGGGGATTAAAAGCGTTAGAACCACTCTTCAGAAAACACTTAATGCCCCACCAGCATACATAGACTTTATTTCTGATATCCTTAAATTTATCTTAACCAAGAATGTCTTTTTATTTAATGGTAAAGTATACCAACAAGTTAGGGGTAATGCCATGGGGACTTCATGCGCACCCTCCTATGCATACTTGGGCAACTGGGAGACACACATTGAAACGGACCAGACTTTATCGATCTATCGTGATAAAATTTATTTTTGGAAAAGATACATCGATGATGTCTTTGTTATTTGGCTGGGATCTTCTGATGAGTTCATGACGTTTGTAACTCTATTTATTTATTTATTTTTGTAGTGCATAGATATAACACAAACAGGCGAGAGGTACCCCAAAGGCAGTCCTCTAGCTGTTCCCATGCGAGACAAGCGGGGCACAAGATGAACATGCACAATTTTGTTTTTTAAACAGATTTAAGCATACGAATACCGCATTGAATTAAAATTATGGTCTAAGAGTATAAGCAGTTGTAGCATTGTAGTTTCAGCTGTACAAATACACTGATACTATATTCATGTTTGGTCAGAGCTTGAGTTAGGTTAGTTTCTCACGTTTAATACAGGTCCATACTACGCTTTTGGGACACGGATCTCACTATATATATATATATATATATATATATATATATATATATATATATATATATATATATATACATACATACATTCAAAATGCCATAATGCCAAGTCAGCAGGCTTATTTATTAATGCTTAGTTTACCCTCAGCTTGTGTGTAATTTTGACCCATCTGCAGCCTAGCATACCACAGGGGTTAGCCAATTTACAGAGGGAGGGTTGTATGTCCGGGGCCTAGCGTGATACTCATGGATATGCCACATAAAGCAGGTATAAGAGTGAGAGTGTTCATTTAAGAGATACTGCTGAAAATCTTGTCTAGGCCCAGTCCGTGAGGATGGTAGGTTGTACTTTGCGGTCTGTTCCTCTTGGACCGGACAAGTGGTGATCCGGTGAAGGAGGCTGAGTGCAGGTCGTGTAGCTCAGCTGCGGCATCTGGGTCTGACTGCCTCCCTCTTCATGGGCTGTTTTGTGCAGGTGGTAGTGGTTACTTGCTTCCCCGCTTTGTTCCCGCTCTCTTCGTAGTCACCACAGCTGATCTCTATGTAGTCAGCCGGAACGGCCCTGGAGTAGGTTGGGTGGCGCTGGATGGTCACGGCTCCATTATGCTGGCAGGTCGCGCACATGGCTTGCGTGCGGAGGCCATTTTGAGGAGTGCTGCTTGGTAAGTTTGCCATGGCGTGTTGGGGCTCAGCTATGTGGTCTGAGTACAGCAATACCCCCGTATGTACCTTTGCCAGGTATATGTGGACATCGGAGGGGCACATTTGGGACACAGCCATTCCAGTTTTTTTCAAACTTAAAATTTTTACGCTGTGCCCATGTCCCATTTTAGAATATTTTACTAGGCTATATAACCCAAATACCACATAAAGCTATACAATTTCTGAAAGAAGACATCCCAGGGTATTTCAAAAGGCATATTTTGAACCTTAGCGTGGGATAATTTTTCCGCTAGCTTGTACCAAGTGTAGTGGTAATAAGCGTTTTTTTCTGCCTTTTTGACACACAAAGTGAGTTTGCACAGTATATTTTGCAAACTGTATGTGTGCTACGACTGTATAATACTTCATATGTTGCTCAGCTATGTGGTCTGAGTACAGCAATACCCCCGTATGTACCTTTGCCAGGTATATGTGGATGTTGAAGGGGCGCATTTGAGACGCAGCCATTCAGTTTTTTTCTAACTTTGAAGTTTTACGCTGTGTCCATGTTCCAATTTGGAGTAGTTTAGACGGTTGGTTATTGAAACTTCCCCACAAACACATACTATGTATTAAAGAATACACCCTGGGGTAATTCAAAAGGCATATTTTGAACCTTGGCGTGGCATCATTTTTTCTCTAGTTTGTTCCAGTTGTAGTGATAATGAGCGTTTTTAAATGTATTTTTTTACTTTTTTAAACTTTTTTCACTTTTTAAAACTAGTTTTTAAACTTTTGTTTTTCTTATTAAATTTTTTTAAACTTTACTAAACTTTCTTGAAACCTTTTTTTTTACAGATTTAACATTTTTCTAAGCTTTTTTTTTTACCATTAACCCCTAACTAGCAGTAAGCAGCACTAACAGTAAATTCCCCATTTTCCCATAACTCCCACCCACCCCAGCTAGCAAAATATAATAATTATAAAATATTTAAATCAGTTAAATAAATAAATTGAACCCCTGAGGGTTAAAAAATAAATAAAAGTTAATTGTCAGGGGTTAAATAAAATTAGATCACAGTATAATACTGTGATCTGTATTTTGATCACTGTAGGCAGTGATCGACTGGCAGGGAAGGGGTTCTTATTTGGACTGGCTAAAGGGGGGTGTTTTTTTATTTCTTACTTAAACATTATTAAAACTTTTTTAAACTTAATTTTTAACTTTTTAAAGCTTATTTTAAAATTTTTTTTAATGTTAACCCCTAGTTAGCCTAACACCAAATCCCCCAATTCCCCACTAACTTTCACCCACCCCACCTAGCTAAATTTATAATTTTAAAATACTTAAATTAATTAATAAAATAAATTTAACCCTTGTGGGTTAAAAAAAGAAATAAAGAATTAACCCTCAGGGAGTTAAAAAAAAAAAAAAAAAAATCAGATCGTAGTAAAATGTAATCCCTCCCAATTGATGACTGTAGTCAGTGATCAATTGGCAGGGAATGTGTTAATTTTTTATTAAAATGGGTAAAACGGGGTGGGATTATAAATTAATTTTATTTATTTTTTTTAACAGGGGGCAGGATCATCACTGATCCGTTTCCCTGCATTTCACACAGAACCAGGAAGTGCAGGGAGGCGGAAGGTAAGTATACTAAGCACATGTGCTCGCTCCGACATGCTGTCAGAGCGAGCACATGTGCTGGGCAGCCCTATCGGGTGCTCCCGGTCTGCCTCTAATAAAGCAATTCTAATACAGCAATTCACTCGTCGTTAAGGAGTTAAAAGAATAATAATAACATATATTTATGTGGCACCTTTCTCTTAGTGGGACACAGCTCTCAGAGCTGACCAGTTATATGTTAATGTTGCCCCATTGATAGAGCTTGTTTTGCCGATCTTGGACGGATGGGGTGTTGGGTTGGCCTTGCCGGGATTTGAACCTGCAACCTTGCCTTTTTTTTTTAGCAGCCATTGCAGTCAGGGATTTTACCAGCTAAGCTATGTCATTGGCAGGGTGTGTCTTCACTATGTTTTTGATATGTAGAATATGTGACGACATGACACACCCCTGGCAGGCTGCAGAATAGAGTTTAGATACTCCGCCCCTCAGGAACTCCCACATTGAACAGCTGATGGCCATGTTTTCATCATTAATAGGTATTTAAATGGAAAAACAAGCTGCTCATGTTCACAGGCTCCTGACGACAGCGTTTTGAACACGCCGAAACGCGCTTCCAGCGTTTTCTTTTTCTTTAATCTCTGCACTTGGTAGCACTTTTTATTTTTGTTACCACTATGGTTATTGATTTTTAGGTGTTGATTTATTTATTTATAACTTTAGTAGGGAGAGTTGCTTCAGGTAGACACTAGTGGTTAGACCACGGTGTCGAGGTATCTTTTAGGGTGAATTGAGAGATTTATTTATTTATTTTTTGTGAGAGGCTTTTAATCTGCGTTTAGATCGGATTACCCGGTCCCTTGTTCTCTGGGGACCCTGTGCCTCTTCTCTCTCCCTAACCTCGTTTACACTACCTTCCTGTCAGTCGAACACTAGGGAAACTGGAACTTAGATGCTAGCTAGTACTCCAGACACCATTTAGTAGATCTCCCTTTTTTTCAAGTTATACTTTTTGTTTGCATATCCCTTTTTATCCTTAGATTGATTAAAGGTAGGGCCTCCCTTCCTCATTTCTTATACAGTGGAGCTCTCCTGATGTTGGTGTCCCCTTGTGGGACTCTACACATCACCTACTCCTATTACCTACATATTTTGGAGGGTTACCCCCTCATTAGAGCTCCCTATTAGGTGGTTACAGTGGTGCAGCTCATGAGCCCTTGACTTGTATCCGGACTCCTGACCTGCACTCTGTTTACTTTATTTCTCCATTTTGTGTAACAACTCAAACAGCTTACTCTTCGCCGGGACCCCGCTCCGCTGGCAAGCTGCTTTTAGCTCACGTTATGCCATTACAGAGAGAACCTAAGCTATTTGCACATCAGGCTGATCCCAACAGAGGGTTCAGATTCAAAATGCCCTCTGTACGAAAGATACAGCAACCCCAGATGATCATTTCAGTCTTGTTAGGCCTTATAGTCAGGTGTAGCGGATACTCCTCTAGTGAGCATGGGGTCCACATCTGGATTATGCTTTTACATTAAGGATAGCAAACAAACTAAAACAGGTTGCAAAACAATACTGAGAACAGACAAAATAACTTGCCCTTAGGTGGGCAACTATTCTGACACCTATTGAGTTTCTCTGAGCTTTTTCCCCAATTTAAATGGGTAATTCAGAAGTGGACCCCCGTGCCTAGATGGGTATCAGCTACACCTTGCTGATGACACTTATAGAAGGCCAAAACAATTGTCCATGATATACATTGTGAAGATGAAATTTGTCGTATTTTTGGATCTTGACTGCCCTAATGGTTGACGTCAGGATATGCAAATACTAGGAAGTTAAGTGTTTGAAGGAGATAAAACCAAAGAGAATTGAGAAAATGAGAAGCCATTATGTGCTCAATATACTATATGCAATAAGTTTATGTTGGTGCAGATGAACCAGTAAGGAATATTCTCGCTAACCTTGCACGGGGGGGACACATTTCCAGCCACAGTTGGAGCAACAGCATTTTTTGCCACTTGGACACGGACTGTCGAATTTACAGTCATCAGGCCCTGGTTTGGCCAGTGGACAGATGGAGGGATCAAACGGAGGGCACACATTGAGTAAATCTAAATCTGAAGAATGGAGAAAACAAAGTCAGTAAAATATATTAACGTTGATGAGCAAAGTGTAAAAAGAGGCTGTATGGTTGCCAGAAACATATTGGGTCAATCCACACGTAATAATGGACTTATGATTGAAAACTAGGAAACAAAGTTATCACAGACTAATCTGCTACCCATTGGAATTAAGTGAGATTATTACAGTTCACATATTACCATGTGTTTGTTTAATAATTTATTGATTGCACAGTAAATGCTAACAGTAATGGCTGACACCCACACACTGCATTCAATATAAATAATGGGGTCTCTGTACCTGAAGAAGGCTTCACACATTTCTGTCCGTCCCCAGAGACACAGCACTTCTCATCCGCGGCACAGTCCGAATCCTGACTACACAGGACCGATGGACAAACCAGACTTTTCCCCTTCTCTATCTCACTCACAGGACAAACGCCATGTGGCTCTAATATAACAAAGAAATATACACCGAGAATTAATCCAGCCATTAGAGACATCAATAGCAAGAGAACAAAACAACGTGGCCAGTAACAAATATATGGAAAGTTATCAAAATTGTAAACATCATAAAAATTAACATTAAAAAGGTCTCTTTAGGAATTCTCACAGCAAGTGAAATATGCTTCTTTGAGGCAGATTCAGGCACGTTCTCCATTCACGGAAGGACATTTCCCCTCATGATTAATTGTTACCATAATAAGGAAGGTAGAACCCCATTCTAGCAGATATAACGCAGAACATTATTTATTAAATTCAATGTACGTTTTGCTGATCCAGTGAAAATCTCGGTGACTCCTAAAGCAATGCTGGAATATTTCTTCCACCGCTCAAACAAATCATAAAAAATATAACATTTTATGGGTGTTTTTGCTGTCCTTTGGGTGAGGAACACTGACTCCTGTGAAGGTGCAACTCAATGGACTTTGTTTTCATATAACTAATTATCTATGTAACAGAAAATAACATGGGGAGCTCGGTGACTCTGCTATACACTTATATCAGACGGATTTCATTATCACATTACCTTCCGCAGGATCCCAGCAGCTATTCCCACAAATATTACAGCATTTCTTTTTGCCGAGACAGTCACTGTCCGTCTGGCATTTGGGCTCCGGCAGTGGCATCAAACACTTAGCTTTGATAGGAGGACAGCGACCTGGTCTCACTGAAGAGAGAATAGAAGGCAGAACATTACAATTAGAAATATGTTTGTGTCTTCTTTAGGGAACTGGATGTCCTGCAACAAAAGATCTCTGACAGACAAATCCTTAGAATACAGATTGACACGTCAGGATGTAGTATTAAGATAGAAACCGTAAGGGTCCTTGAAATGACCAATGATGTACATCAACACAGTGTGTGACTGGAGAAAGGCAGGTGCCACAAGAGAGGACATGAGAAAAGACTCAGAGAGATGGGATTTGTCTGGAGAGAAAGCTGTGAAATATAAAATAAACTTGGAGATTAGTATTGGTCAAAACGGTAAATTTACAAGAAAATACAAGCAAAAAAAGCGCTGATCATTTCAATGACGTGGTAATATTTTAAGTATTTAAAAAGGGAAGCTGGGGACGGTGCATGACCGCCATGCTGAACGGTCACACTAAGCTTGAGTTCCTTGAGGAACTTTGAATCTAAGCGAGCTAATAGACTTCTGAGCCCCTGGTGGCAGGGACACAGAGAAGTGGCCGATCCACAATGCAGAACACACAATAAAAGGCATGCAAATGACAAAGCTCAGCTCCCTACCTTTCCACCGCTTGAGAAATGCACCATAAAGTCCCAAAACCGCTGCAAACAATTTCCAGAATGGCTCCAGAACTCGATGCAAAAGCCGCTCCAACACCTCCACACTCTACGCCACGTGCTACCCACAGGCTCCAGCATGTAGGGGGCGGTGCTATAACCCTCCCAGGTGCAATGCATCCTTGGGAAACTTGCTTTGTATTGCAAAACAAATTTGTAAACCGAGGCATTATTTTCAATGGCTTTTTATTTGTAAACCGAAAATTATGTTAACCGAGGCGTTTGTAAACCCAGGTCCCACTGTATTCTGAATAGAATTTCCTCCACATCAAGATCTTTTCACCACATGTGTCCCTAAAATGGTTAATCCACTGGGATCTTTGTTGTGGTATTTTTTAAAATGTGCAGAGATGCTATGCTAATCAAAGCCCTTTCGAATATTATTTGTGTATTCATAAATTCTTTTATGCAAAGGGAGAATAGTTCTTCCCACATGGACAAATTAAAAGATAAAATTATATTCTTACTAAAACATGTAATAAAATCATTAATAACAAATTATTCTTCTTTATACTTTGTTTTACATTTATTAATACCTTTTAAGGTCCTACTTTTACTGCATTTGCAACCTGCACACTTCCCACATGAATAAAAAAACGCTCTTATTTGTACTTAAAAAGTATTAGGAATATCGGGGGCATGGCTTGGATCTTACCGAGAGCAGTCACATGCCTGCAGGAGATAAATGCAGATTAAATCGATCCACACAACGACAATCTGACTACTTTTCAGCCCCTACAATCAGTGACAACGTGGGAAAAAGAAATAAGAAGTTAAAAACTCACCCTGAGGACGGATCCCGGAAAATCGGCGATCTTTTCCTGTCAAGGCCTAAGCCTAAAATGACGGCGACCCCGGACCCCTTAAGCTCATCCTCAGAGGAGGCGGCACTGGAAGCTCCAGATCCCATACCAGAGGCCGCAGACCCCATTTCAAGCCTATCATTCGGCGACCTGAGAGCCCCGGCTACCAAGGGAGACATCCTGAACATACTGCAGAACCTGCACACCCTGTTCCGCTCAGACATGGCAATTGTACAGGGAGAAGTGACCGCCGTCACGGGCAGGGTGAGGGTTGCTGAAAAAGACATCGCCGCTTTTGCACAACGCCATCAAACAACAGAGGAGAAACTAATAAGCCTCCAATCCTCACACCATGCACTACAGGCCCGGCTGGATGGCCTAGAGAATGCAAGACGCTGCTCCAACATAAAAATCAGGGGCATAGCAGAATCCATTGATGACAATGAATTGCCACAACTCGACGCCTCTTAGCGGCACTGCTCAACCCCAAGCAGGCGAAGGCTGTACATGTGGAGGGTGTTCACAGACTCTCCAAATCACCAAGGGCCCCGGCGTAGGCCTCCCGCGATATTCTACTCCGCTTTCAATCTACTCGGGACAAAACGGCGATGATGGCAGCGCTCGGCAACCAGAGCCCTTACCAATTCAAGGGCATGCAGCTCACTTTCCTGCAGGACCTTTGCAGAGCTACCCTGACCTGGAGACGGTCCATACAACGAGTCACCACAGCCTTTAGAGTGGCTGGAATAAGGTACTGATGGGGCCCATCCATGTTGATAGTTGCAAAGGGAGCTACAACATTTCGACTGACGTTGACAGAAGACGCAGGACATTTTCTCGGTAAACTGGGAATTAAGACCCCAGACTCCACCAACCCGACTCCTAACTGCTCCTGGGACGTCCCCAACATAGCCCCATTTGTGCCGCTCTCTGCGGCTGACACGGGCTGAAGCCCAGGAAGATCACGTCATCTAGTTATGGGGTCCCAGGACTCTAAAAAGGCTTTGTGACACTTATTCTTGTTTCCCTCGCAACTCGAGTGAAGGTTAAGCGTCACTCACACTAGTCTTCTCATCCTATATGCATGACAGACTCCCATTCCTCATTCCCGCAGCAGAGAGTACTCTCCCTCCCTCCCCCCCAAAAAACAAACAAAAAAACAATAGATCAGGGAAAGCACGACAACATACTCCTCTTATCACCTCGAGGGCTTGTCAGTACACCCTATTTATGCCACTGATTAGTCCATCATAATTACAGCTACTAAGCACAGGGGCAGCCAGGGGTGCCAACTCTCTCCTATCAAGGAGGTTAGCAGCCACTTCACCTGGTCCAAGACAGTACATACCTGTACACAGATGGATAGAGACATACCACCATCAGGCTTTTCACAGCCATTAAGCCTGTAAGACGTCTAACTCCTCTGACCCTCACATCTCTTTATTCAGCAGCCTGATTTCCCAACTTTGCAAGCCCATTCCTTCAGTGAGCAAGCCTGATGGTCTGCAAAGCCTGATTCCCCAACTTTGCAAGCCCATTCCTTCAGTGAGCAAGCCTGATCGTCTGCAAAGGTAGCCTTCTGGAAGACCACACTAAGACTCTATCCTGCACACCTTCATTTAATTTTAACTTAACCACCCTGTACATTTATTTTATTTTATTAATATTTTATTAATATTGCAGCAGAGCTGCAATATTAAATCCCCAAATCTCCGCTGGTACAGAAAGTAATCCAAATTAAAGTGCGGGAAATGAAGGCAATATCCCAAATCCCCCAGTAACTGGACGAACCACAGTTCTGGGAGTCAACTGGCTACTTTATTCACAAGCTCCAGTATTTATGTGATTCCCCATGCAAGGGGTTTCCTTACTGACTTTACAGGGGTTATACTGTAGAGGACTACATGGGGAACTGAATATACAGAGCATTTCTCCCACCTTGCACTGCTGTACGTGAGGGATACTCCCACTAGAATATCCTGTTAAGTGGATTATCCCTCCGTACAGCAGAACCGTGTTTTAACACAAAAATCCATAACTTTAATATTATTCGTGTGATTCCCTTAAATTACCATTCGGTAGATAGCTGGGGTCTGAGCGCACACTTCGTGAAAGTACCACTCAGATCCCAGCATAAAATAACCTAACGCCGCACAAAACACATTTTATTTTACATTCTCAAAGGATCCAAGATGGCCGACCGCCGTGTGGTCGGTAACCGAACAACGGCCTTCCAGGAAAACACTTAAAGCGGCACTGTCATGCCGAATCCCGGTTTTTGGTTTTTTTTAACCCTCCTCCCGCCTCCACTAAATCCAATTGACCCCCTAAGCCCCCACATTACCTATTTTTTAATCTTTATTTTCTGCCCCGATCTTTATTCAGGGCGCCACCATCTTTGTGTGGGTAGATGAAGTCCCTGTGGGACACGTCATCTGCCCACACTAGATAGACTGTGAAATTCCTGCACATGCCCAGTGAAACACCTGGACATGAGAACGGGAATTTCATCTATTCCTTCATTCATTCGATAGACGAATGAATGAATAGAAAAATCAGACGAACAAACTAACACTGTGTATCAGTGCACGTTTGTTTGTTCTGTTTAGTACAAGGAGGGAGCTACCGGCACGCAGCTCCCTCCTTGTAATATGTAACTATAGAAGCGGCAGGGAGAAGTGCTCCCCACCACTTCATAAGCCCCCCCAGGTCCCCCCTCACTCTATGGGGGTCAATATGACCCCCATAATAGCATAAGGGAGATACCACGAGTAGGGGCATGTCTGTGGCTGCTCCCTGTAAAAAAATTAAATAAAAACCTATTTGCCCCACCCCTAAATGATGGGTGTTAAATAAGGGGGGAGACCTATTGTGTCCCCCCGGCCCCCACCCCTGCGCGGTGGTTGGGGGCCATAAATTACAATGAGGGGGGGACCTACTGTCCTCCCCCCAGGTCCACACCCCTGGGCGGCGGATGGGGGCCATAATGATAATGAGGGGGAGGGCCTACTGTCCTCCCCCCGGCCCCCACCCCTGGGCGGCAGGTGGGTGCCCAAAGTCAAATTCCCCCCCCCCACCATCAAAGGTGACTAGGGATCCCCAAGCCCCTAGTCACCCACCCCCCCACCCAAATAAAAAGGCCCCTACCTACCCCCCCTCACCCTAAACAATAGTGAGGGGGGAATAAAATTACTAACCTGTAAAGTAAAATTAAACTTACCATTCAACGTCTTCTTTTTTCCAAAATCTTCCTTTTTCAGCCCCAAAAAAGGGCAAATAAATAAAACATCATACCCGTAGAACTTAAAATAAAAAACCCGAGCGCAAAAAAAAAATAAAAAATAAAAAATAAACCTGACGAAAAAGAAAAAACCTGAGCGCGAAAAAATAATCCATCTTCACCCATGGAGGGCTCCGCGCAGACTGAGCTCCGCAGGGCTGGGGAAGGCTTATAAAGCCTTGCCCCGCCCTGCAATTAGGCTAAAAACACTCTGATTGGTGGATTTAAGCCAATCAGAGTGCTCTGTGTCATTTACACAGGGTGGGAAAATTCCAAAGATATTCCAAAGATATTTCTATCACTATTTTCATTTGTTCCTCAGATTTTTCTTTATCTGTACAGTTCCTTCTTATTCTCTGTAGTTGCCCTTTTGGAATATTATTTAACCAAGCAGAACTGTGTCCGCTGTTATAAAAGGATATAGCTATTAGCATCTACCTTTTTGAAAAAAAAAAAAGGTTTTTAAAATAACCTCATCAACATAAATCTCCAGATCTAGCAAGCCAATACTGGAAGTGCTAAATTGACTAATTGGATAACCCAGTCATTACGTCTAATATCCTCCAAAAAAAATCTCCAGGTTGCTCTGAGAGCCGTTCCATATAAAAAATAAGTAATATATATGCCTATGGTATGTGACCAGGTTCGTCCCCCATGCTGGGTTGATATAAATAGCTGCACTTTTCCAACCCAGCATGAACAAGTTTGCATAGCTGGGGGCGAACCTGGTCCCCAAAGCCATGCCTTGTCATTTCAGGTAAAACTTAGAATTAAAAACAAAATAATTAGGGGGCGGGGCCTGACCAACATGGCGGTCGGGCGCATGATATGAGTGGTCTTCCACAATCCGATGCAATCTCACTTGTTACCCTCATAGAGCTCCCTCGCCGCCTCGGATTAGAACTTTGCCACCCGCCGAAGTGGACCCCAGGGACAGATCCACACTAGCTCTCCAGATAGGGAGGCTGGGTGGACATTTAATATTAATAATTTGTGTGTCTGTAAGTGTATTTGTGAGTGTGTATGTGTGTGTGTGTGTTTCTGTAAGTGTGAGTGTATGTGTTTCTCTGTGAGTGCGTGTGTTTAAGTGTATGTGTGTTTATGTGTTTGTCTGTGAGCAGAGTACTTGTAGAATAGGAGAAAGAAGGAGCAGAGTATTTGTAGAATAGGAGAAAGAAGGAGCAGAGTATTTGTAGAATAGGAGAAAGAAGGAGTAACTTACTTGTAAAAAGGAAAAAGGAAAAGGAGAGAATTGTTCTTGGCTAATATTAGTAAGTGGGCTACCTAGCTCAGCCTTCCTACTGGACATTGCTATAAGGAAGGTTAAAAAAGGTTTAAAAAAAAAAAATTAGAAAAGGGGGGGGGGAAGGTGGGGAGGGGAATTGTGGAGGGAGAGGAGGGGAGCTGATGCACAGATGAGAAATCGTCTGAATATCACCGAAAAAGGAGACCTTCGTTTGTTCCTTAAGAAAATCGAACCAGATATCAAATATTTAGTCTCGCAGCATAAGCCTCAAGGATCTCATTAATCACTAGTAAAGGTAATTTCAATTTACTTTATTGTTTTCTCATTAAACTTTATAAATGTAACAGAACTATGATTGTGCCTATACTTTTGCCTGGACTTAAATAACAACGCTGCTGGATGTGTCAAACAAAAACCGAATGGCTAGTTTTCGTGTAAATATTCCTACTGTAACATACAGCCAAAAATACCGAACATCAGACCACCCAGGGGAACAGTTAATTGATATTTTACCTCCCAGTGATTGTGGAGCCGTTCGCATGGTTCATACGAATTCCTTTGTGCTCAGGTTAGATGGCCGCCATTTCGGGACTTTACACGTGTTCACGGCCATCTTACGCACAAACGGCGGTGTTTGCCTGTGAACGCATGGAACTAAAAAAGGATACGCAAACAGGCGAACACCATTGAGACCTCCAGGAGCTCGTAAGTTCGTGCTGGAACTACCGAACGACCGGCCGTTCGGTAGTTTTGTTTAAGCATTCATAGGGATTCAAGCGAACACCAGGATGACTGTGGATGGCAAGGGGTTCGTGGGGTTTTAATGCACGAACGGAGACCGACCGCAAGGCCAAAACTTATGGAACTCTTTTCGGCTAGAAAACCTGTGCGGTCGGTCAAAACTTCAAAGATCCATAACTCCCGAACCCCTCAACCGAATGGGCTGAAATTTGGATATATTGTTCCCCTGAGTGAGAGCTATTAAGCGGTGCTGGACTTAAAGGTGTACCCCCTGTTTTTGGGGTACATCCAGAATGTAGTTAAAATTGTGTCTGTTTTAATTATGTTATATGTTATCTGAGGGGAGGAGACGTGGGGGTTGAACCATGTATCTAATTGGCTGTTGTGATAATTATGTGGGTGTAGCCTTACAGAGGGCACTATTGCATAAAAGGAGACCCCTGTCAATAAACATCAATTCTACTTGACCCTTCAAAACGTAGCCTCGTCTCGTTCTTGGAGGGGATTTATGGTACCGTTACTCTGCCTCATTTTACAGCACTGCCGGATTATACACTTGGATATCGTGGATGGGAATAAGAACTCCATTACTTCACAGCAGCTTGCCTAGAAAAGGACATCTCCAACGGCAGATACCCCCCTACAGCAGGGTAGCCGTTACAATAAAGTTAAAAACATGCATTAAGTAGAAATAAAAGGATGAATGTACGCACATTTATTTTTTTTAAAACACCCTCCTTTCTAAAAAATATTCCACACTTGCACGAAAACTGGTGGGCGGTAAGGAAATGTTTCCATCAAGAAAGATGCATTAATGGGCGTAGGAAGAAAATGCTCGACTACCACTGCTCTTAATAATCTGTTGAAATTCAAGATTACAATGCTATCCCCCTTATCGACAGGCTTAATTAGAATATCTTTATTGTTAGTAATCAGAAACATCTTGTGCATAAAAAAGTGCTATATTGATCTAAGCACAGTCCCAGACCCTCAGTCATAAATCAGCATCTACAGAGTTAAATGGCAGACAGAGCTAGAAAGATAGAGTATTGTCCATAATATATGACAGGGAGAGAATGCAGTATATAGTGAGAAAGTCAGTGTCTAAAACACTGACAAGGTAAATTAAAAGCCTCTCTCCCTGGTAATCTAACTAGACAGGCATAGAAGCAATCATACTCGTTTTCCCTGGCACTATAGTGCCCTGAGGGTGCCCCCACCCTCAGGGACCCCCTCCCGCCTGGCTCTGGGGAGAGGAAAGGGTTAAAACTTAACTTTTTTCCCAGCGCCGGGCGGGGAGCTCTCCTCCTTCTCTTCGGCTGAATGCGCACGCGCGGCAGGAGCTGCACGCGCATTCAGCCGGTCTCATAGGAAAGCATTTACAATGCTTTTTACAATATAATAAATAATTTTATATATAGGTTTTTAATTCTCCTCCTGTTATTTTTCCCTCACTTGATCTGTGAACCAAATGCTGGTAAGAGATGGCCTATTGGTGGAATTTACTATATTATGGATATATTTTGGAGTACATTGAATAGCCTATTTTGTGTATCATCTGGTTCAGTTCCCAAACCGGTTTTCCAGAACACAAATTCTGCAAGCTGAACAGATATTTGCAGAAATTCAAGTGGCCTGAAAAATGTTATGTTTTCCTCAAAAAGGTTTCAGCAGAGCAAACTTTTCTCGCTGTGCACAAGTCTAATATAAAGCAATAGAAGAAAGTTCACAGGAGATAAATCAATGGTAATGGATAAAATGGGAACCCATGATGAGTTCGGTATTACACTGCACATGTATATGATGGGGTGGATGTAGTAGTATACATAATGACCTGCTTACACTAACATTGGGCCTCGGCCAAGAATAGGGTAAGATCCGGGCAAGAGTCCGCTCACCTTCCTCGACTACCTCAATGCTCACTAAAAGCACTGTTTTCTTTTTAATTTTTCTTTTTATTAAGACTTCGCAATACCCTCTTTATAACCCACTGTTGGGACTATATAGAATCCCATATTTATAGATATGATACCACTAACATGAATCCAAATATAACCATACTATATATATCCCTCCCTCCTACCCCGACCTCATAAAATTATAAAATATCCCATTCACTATATGGCCAAACAAAGATGATGTCCAAATCCCTATTCCTTATGCCCTTGCAAATGATGTGGAGTCTAACCCTGGTCCCCCAGCTAATTCTAGTCCTAATCTCCCCACTAAAAATGCCTCTCTTTTGTGCACTGCAACATCCGTAGTGTACTCCCTAAACTGGATGCACTGTAAGCCTGGTGTTCCCATTACAAACCAAAAATCATTGTGCTCTCAGAATCATGGTTAACGACTAAAATACCAGACACTGCCATTGCAATACAGGGGTTATTCATGTTTTAGAAATGACAGAGCAAAGAGAGGAGGAGGCATTGTTATTTATTTTGACAATTCCATAAAGTTTACCCCTTTACAAAACCTTAGTCCTCCTGCCACCTTTGATTTCCTTTCTGGAACAATTGAGATCCCGTGCAGTAAATCAATCATTGTTGCAGGAATCTACCGCCCACCTAGCTCCCCTGTGCATTCCCTTTCTGACATAGCCCATCTCCTTAGTGAAACCATAGCTCAAAACCCAAAAAGTGAACTGTTGGTCTTTGGAGATTTGAATATTGATTGGCTGAACCCTAAAAATAATAGTTCTTGCACGCTGTTTAAGACTTTTTCGATTGGGTTTTATTAAAGGACACGGAGGCGAGTATTATGCTTATTCTCTTTCTTTATTCCTCAGCAGCAAAAGAAAGAGATACTGTAAATATTCAACACAATTTAAATAATAACGTCATTTACCCCAAAGGGTTAACCACATATGACACATTAACCAATGAGAGTGTCCCTATCCTAATAATGTCCCATGTGACCTTGAGCCACTCCTCTTTATTTTGCTGCTGCCGCCTCAGCTAAGTACAGTTTTACATCTCTCTACATATTTGGAAAATTCTCTATTTATCTCTGTTTAGTTTGGGTACATTTGCCTTTAATTTAACCTTGTTGCATTATCTATGCCTTATTTGTCCTTTTTTTTGTGGTACATTATTGTTTTTTTATTACTGTTCTATTACTGTTTTTTCCCCCCTCTCCTTTCCCTCCCTCACCTGGTCGGTTTAATTATCTTCCGACCAGGTTTTTAAAGTCCTGCCTTGAAGGGACCTCAGCCTGAGGCTCACTCCTCGCACCGGGTACCGTTTCCCGTGGACCCGGCGGTTCTTGGCGTTAGCCGCGGCTAAGTGCTGCTCATGCATGTGCACATAGCGAGTGCGCATCACGGCGGCCATATTTTGATTGGCGGTTTTGCCGTGCTTTTCCTAACGCGGCCAATACGCTCAGCTGCGGGCGGGAACGTATCTGTGTTACTAGGTTACTGAGGGAACACTCGGAGAGCCTGCTCTACTGCTATAATTGTGCCTAGTTTTTCCTTGTTATTCAACTTTGAGTAGTGTTTAACTTGTGCCTCTTAAAGCTGTATTGCTTAAATAGCTTGTGCCTCTCCAGCTGTTGGCTCAATTGGCTAGCTGCTAAACTGTCACACTCCTACTCCACAGATAGTAGTGCCCAGTTAAGGATACAAATATTTATCGGTCGGTCATTTAATCCTTTCCTCCTGGCCATGCAATCAAATAAAATGACTGATATTTCTAGCTCTGCCACCGTCACCATAACTCCTGAACCTCTTCCGGAATCCTAAACTCCAACAACAATTGAAGGGCCACAGGAGCAAATTGACTCTGAAGAGTTGCATTCCCTCCTGGACGTGGCTATGACGAAGTCTGTGACACAGGCCATATTTATTGCTATGAGGGCCCCCCCCCACATAATCCGGTAACCCCTAGTGGGTGTAAAGCCGTCAAAAAGTCCCACCACCTGGATGAAAATGCCTCCAAAACATTATAGACTGACAGGGTACGTCCTGTCACAGATCATGTGGTTGAACCACAACAAAGAGCCCCCCCCCAGGGCAAAATCGGTGAGGAATTGGAAAAGGGCTAGAGCCCTCATTGAATCCTCTGAATCTGAGTTGGAGCAAGAGAAGGCACAGAGCAAGTCCTACGAGGAGGACTCTTATGATCCCAGCTTTTATCTCCCTGAGCACAGCTCCGTGACAGGAGCGGGAGCATACTCCAAAGATGGAGTAGACGACTCCGCCCTGGTTGATCCTCAAGGGGAGCCACTTTTTGACCCCGACACCTTACAACACCCAAGATCCACAAAGTGGTATCCCCTAGAGCACGTTGCAAATATATCACTGCTCGTATTAGAAAAACCACTTGACAAGGAGGCACGGAGAAAACTCCGGGCGGAATGCCCATGCCCTACTATTCCTGATATGGCATGCGCCACCCCTGACGTAGACCCAAAAATTGCCCAATTCTTGGGGACATCAGGCAGGAAAGCCAAGAAGGGCCTGGATTTTGTCTGGCGGAATTGCCAGGACAAGGTCCTGGATGTCCTAAGGCCAGTTGCAAAAATTTTCGAAAGCGCAATAACAGGTGGTACACCGGTGGATTTAGAGACACTCAGGGGGTGGATCCAGCGAGCCGTATGTCTGCTGGGAAACGCCAATATGGCGGTAGCCACAGAAAGGCGTTAGGCAATCTTGATAAAAATATAACCTAAGCTAGTGAACCTAGCTATTTCTGAGCCTGGACCCCAGGCAAAAGCCCTCCTATTTGGAGATAATTTTGTTAAAGAGCTAGGCACATATGTAGGCACCTTTACAGCACTTGATAAACCTCAGGCCAACATGAAACAAATGTTCCACCAGAGAGTTTTTGGCAGGGCCGTCAGATAACGGGGACGTCTGCCCGGCCGAGCACTCCGGGGTTCATACCGGGGGTACCGAGGCCCCATACAGTCCAGGCTTACAACACCTGAACCCAGAACTACCACACCGTTCTTCCCAGTCCGGGGCAGACCATGGCAGTCTCGGGGACCCGAGGTCCTTCCTATGGCCGACGACCTTATGGTAAGTTCTATGCCTCGGCATCTGGCTTCACTAACTATGGTGGGGGGCAGACTGTGTCATTTTGTCACTGCATGGCGCAAGCTCACTGCAGATGCATGGATCCTTCACGCTGTTCAGGGATACTCTATAGATTTTGTACACTACCCTGTTCAAATACAACCCCCCCAACCACATGGTGTTTCCCACTCACGACCAATACCTAATATCTCAAGAAGTCCAGCCTTAGCCTCCAAGGGCGCTATTGCAGAAGTTCACCCTCTCACACCGTGTTTCTTAAGCAACCTCTTCCTGGTTCCCAAAAAGGGGCGGTGGTGTCCTTCCAGTCTTCAACCTACGACCCCTAAACATGTTTGTCACATACCACCACTTCACGATGGAGGAGATCTACGAGATCTCCTGCTTACAGCGGACTGGATGGTAAAGTTTGACTTGAAGGATGCGTACCTCACGGTTCCGATGGCCGAAGAGTGCCAAAACTTCCTACAATTCCAATGGAAAGAGACCTTATGGCGATTCAAATGCCTACCGTTCGGCCTATCATCGGCACCATGGTGCTTCACGAAGCCCATGAAACCAGTGGTCACCCTCCTACACAGCAGAGGAGTTCGACTCATAATATATATATATATATCCTCATAATGGCACAAGACCCTCATCTGCTCCACGAACATTTCTCCTGGACGAGGACTTTACTAGAAAACCTGGGGTTTCTAATCAACTGTGAGAAGATGGTCACCAAAACCTCTCAGTCAATAGAATTCCTGGGATTCACTATAGATGCTGTGAATGGGGCACTCCTACTCCCAACAGCCAAAGTCAAATCCATCAAAAAGGAAATCAGGCGGAAGTTAGCACGTCTCATTCTTACCTTGTGACAACTGGCCAGGATTGTCGGCCTCCTCTCAGCATCAATCCAAGCCATATTCCCTGGGCCTCTGCACTACAGGGCACCCCAACGACTGAAAGACAAATGCCTTCGCTCAGGGCACTCATATTCAGACTCTGTTCCTCTCGACTGCACCGCCAAAGAGGAACGCAAGTGGTGGCTACAAAACATGGAAGCATGGAATGGCCGAGCGATCTTCGGAACCACCCCAGACATCATAGTGGAATCCGATTCAAGTATGCTCGGCCGGAGTCTTTTAAGTATAGTGACCAACTGATCCATTCTATTATGCATGGACAATATATCAGAAGTCTGATATATCAACCACCTCGGGGGCACAAGGTCAACAATACTAGCAGAACTGGCAAAAGATTTCTGGCAATTCTGTCTGGACTGCAACATTTCGGTACAAGCAGAGTACATTCCAGGGATGTCCAACGTAGTGGCGGATTGGAATTCCAGACAGATACGAGATGCCAGCGACCGGCGGATGAACCCTGTCATCTTCAGCCAATTACAATCACTTTGGGGCCCCCTGGACATCGATCTCTTTGCATCACGCTTGAACACACATTTGCCAAAACTTTTCAGCTGGAGGCCGGAGCTCTGGCGACGGATGCTTTCCTCCAACCTATGTGCTATGGCATCAAAGGCCTTTTCTCTAGGTTGTAGGCTAGAAGACCTCCTCCGTGCAGCTGATTGGTCCAGAGAATCTACGTTCCGAGAATTTTATTTCCGACCAATTTCTCATTTTTCCCCAGCTTTGAACTAGCATAATAAGAGCCTCCATGTCCTTTAATAAAATTACCAGATTTTACTAATTTCATGACGTAAAGTCATGATTTTATAAAGGACACGGAGGCAAGTATTATCCCACCCAATCCAAGTTGCGCCTATCCTGTGAATATACTGTCATGTAATGGGGCACGAGTTGTGTAATAATGTGATTTTGTTCTTTCACCTGATGACTAGTACTGAAATGACAAATTGGGTTTTGGTAGATAGGATCGTAATATAATATGGAAATAAGATCCAAGAACGTATTTTACCATTTCATTTCTTTGTCTTCCAGCCTCCTAATTGGGTTGTCATCCTGGTCCATGCCTGCCCATACAAGTTCAAGCAGAAGGTTGCCTGTTGCATCCGGAGCCCGTTGCTATAAGTTTATGGAAATCACGTTCTGCACTTTATTGACTACATCGTTTTTCTGTTTGAGGAAGTGTTCGTCGACAACATCAAAAGAAAGAGGAGTGGCTCAAGGTCACATGCGACATTTTTAAGATAGGGACACTCTCATTGGTTAATGTGTTATATGTGGTTAACCCTTTGGGGTAAATTACATTTAAATTGTGTTGAATATATACAGTATCTCTTTCTTTTGCTGCTGAGGAATAAAGAAAGAGAATAAGCATAATACTCGCCTCCGTGTCCTCTATAAAATCATGAATTTACGTCATGAAATTAGTAAAATCTGGTAATTCTCTCCAGTTGTCCTGATAGAATCCAGGAGGCGGGAGTTCTCCCTAACAGTTTCAGTGACCACTGTCTAGTGTACTGCACACGCAAAATAAAGGCCACCATATCCCCTCCCAAGATTATAATCACCAGGTCTTTCAAAAAATGTAATCTTAAATCCTTTTTAAATGATCTCAAGAACATACCATGGCACAGATTCGGTCCAATACCAGATCTAGACTCTGCAATTGCATTTTTTCAGTCCGTGCTCTTGCGTGTTTGGAATTTGCATGCCCCTCTGCATAAAGTGCGACTAAAAGGGACACACCTGCCCTGGGTCACAGCTAACCTCATTCCAATGTACCAGTTTAGAGATTCACTGTGGTCAAAGCGTACTGACTCCATGAACGATCACTGTACTTACAGACAATGGCAAAATGCATGCACAAAGCAAACAAAAAGGGCAAAGGCCCGATATTTCAGTGAAGATTTGAACAACAACTTATCAGAAGAAACTTCTGGAAAATCATAAATAGCAAACAAACCCCCACAATCCACTCCCAACCCTCCACTGTCAAAATGGACAACCAAACACTGCAACACCCCCTAGATGTAGCGAACGCCTTTAATAATTATTTTGTTGGATGTGCTACCCCCTGGTTGCTAAGATAACAAATGACACTCATTCTCAGACCGCAAATAAATACCAGGCTCTGCCAAATCTTCAAAATCCTCACATAGATAAATTAAATTTTAGACCTATGCTTGTTAATGTCGTTAATAAACATCTTAATGCTTTAATAATGAAAAACCAATCTGGACCTGATCTAATCCCAGCAATGTTGCTGAAGCTCAGTGCACCAGCTATTTCTCAATCTGTCACTACCCTTATCAATGAATCCCTGGTGTCTGGATACATATCCAAACTTTGGAAGACTGCAAAAGTTGTACCTATCCATAAAAGTGGTGACAATACTTTGGTATCTAACTATCGCCCGATATCATTGCTCCCGGTATTGTCAAAAATCTTGGGGAAATGTGTCCACTCGCAACTGTGTGAATATTATCACAAATCAAATTATCTGACCCCTGATCAATCAGACTTTCGTCCAAATCACTCAACTTCGACTGCCCTCTTAAAAGTTTGCAATGACATCCGAATTGGCATGGAACAAGGAGACTTAACTGGAGCTATTTTCCTTGACTTTGCCAAGGCCTTTGACACAGTAGACTATGGCATTCTTTTGCAAAAACTTTAAAAACTCAGGCATTGGCGATTGTCCGCTAACCGGGTTTCGATCGTAAGTTTCAGACCGATTACAATATGTGGTCATTTCTGATAGCACTTCCCTCCCTCTTCCAGTCATGTGTGATGTTCCCCAAGGCTCCATACTCTACCCCCATCTATTCACATTATTTATAAATGATCTATCTAACTAATGCAAATCCTTAACTGTACACATGTATGCAGACAACACTGTAAAGAGTGTCGGCCGCCAGGCGCAGTAAAGAAGGCATGAATGAAGAGCAAAGTGCAATAAAGGTAAGAGAGCATGCACAGTGTGTTCCATAGAATGTGTGTCAGTATGCTTCAGTCAGCATGTTTGTGTATGTTAGTCTGCTTGGGTCTGTGTGTGTATATATGGAAATGTGTGCAGTCTTAATGAATCAGTGTATGTATGTGTGACAAGACCAATCTTGCCACTGTGCATTGGAGGAGTTGGTTGCCCGCCTGCTGCCTTTAGACTATGTTGAAACGCTTGATTTTCCCCTGCAAAGACACGAAAGCTGGGTCATTCGGTGCTTGCCCTGTTTGAGCGGTGATACCCCAGATAGCTATGCCATGGAGTCCATTCGTATAATGAAAGACTATGGGAAAGACTTTGGCTCCATGGCAATTGAACTGTATGTGTGTGGTCTGAGCGCCATTCAGTAATAATGTGTGCTCAGACCTGAGCTATCTGGGGATATGTGGAATGTACCTGTTTTATGCAATGGCTGCACAGTTATATATTTTTATGTATTTTATTGTCTTTTGCTGCCATGTGTTCAATGGAGTTTTGCCTCTGTCCTTGGAGATAATTGGATTACTTCCCAATTATCTCCAGGATAGAAGACTCTGTGGAACTGGTTTTGAGCAGAAAAGCCATGCTTCATTTGGTCACAAAGGACTACGATCTATCTTTTGAACCACTGGACGAATTTGTATGATTTTGACGTATGTTTGCATTTGGAGTATGCTGATTCTGAAAATTTTATGTGAATGTGATGCATACTTTTAAAATTATGAATAATGTGGAAAAACTATTTCTCTGCCTGTGATAATTCCATTACCCATTGTGTAAGGTAATTGTATCACAGGCAGAGGGGAGGATTTTGTGTGGGAGTGTCTGAGTGTATTGTATGTGTTTATTGGTTGTTTTACAAAACCCTGTGGGTGGTACTAATGTGTAAGAATGTGTATATAAGAGCAATAAACCCACAGCTCTGTCTGTTCCTGTTTTGACCCTCAACACGGAGCCTTGTCTCATTCTTGAGGGGGGGAGGGGGGGATTTATTGTATGCTGTTCCACTTCGACTGCTAGGAGTCTAAACCTATTCGTATGGTTTTTCCTATTCGGCTGTTTACGGCATTAATATGGTTTCCTGTTCGGCGGATTGGTGTCTTTGGTAGCTGCCTGTATATCTGGAAGGGGAATCTCTCTTAAACGGCTTTTAACCCCTTTTATGCCTGAGGGTGCCATTACAGTATGTATCAGTCTGTATGGGTCAGCGTGTCTGCATGGGTCTCTGTGTGTGTGTGTGTGTGTGTGTGTGTGTATGTATTTATATATTGTATCAATGCAATGTTTTGTGGACCCAGGACATACTTGAAAATGAGAGAAATCTCAATGTATCCATCCTGGTAAAATATTTTATAAATAAATAGATATTTGTGGCAAATTAGATATTTTAAGGAACTGCTTGGTCTCCCAGAAGGGGTTCAGGACACTCATGAAATTGTGATTTGTTACCCTGCTGTATATATCCCAGTTCCTGGTTTCTGAGATCTCTATAGTTTATGAATCTCAAAACGACAAATAATGTTTTACCAGAAGTATAAATTACTCTATCTTACCTTGCACGGGGGTTACACATTTCCAGCCACAGTTGGAGCAACAGCATTTTTTGCCACTTGGACACGGACTGTCGAATTTACACTCATCAGGCTCTGGTTTGGCCAGTGGACAGATGGAGGGATCAAACGGAGGACACACATTGAGTAAATCTAAATCTGAAGAATGGAGATAACGAGGTCAATAATCAAAGTCAGTAGAATAGATTGTGGTGACTGAAGGAAAAGAAGAGGTTTAGAGGGCGATAGAAAAAGAACGAGTTAATCCACGTGTAATTATATAAATAACAAATTGGGGATACATTGAATTCAGACTGATTTACTACCTACTGGAATTAAGTGATAATGATATTGAATGGTCCATTGAGATCAGAGATTTGACCAGCACAGACGTTGCTTTTTACAAACACAATTATTTCACTGTCAAATTAACTTGTTATTTTTTTATTAAGGAAATACCTTATGGAAAAGCATAAAGTCTGTTGTTGAGGTACAGCTTGTTGGGTTCCATAAAGTTTTTTCTGGATTTGCTGGTTGTTGTCCAATTTTGGGTTAATGAATACGGATGATGTGAAACAGGATAAACAGAACATTTTGGTAAATCTCCACCTTTCTTTTTATTATTTAATACCTATCTCATGGAAAGTCTAACCCCAACCACTAGCACATCTATAGGGCTCCCAGTGCCAGGACTGCCACGCCAACCACTTACACATCTATAGGGCTCCCAGTGCCAAAATTGCCACCACAACCACTTACTCATCTATAGGGCTCCCAGGGCCTGGACTGCCACCCCAACCACTAGCACATCTATAGGGCTCCCAGTGCCAGAACTGCCACCCCAACCACTAGCACATCTATAGGGCTCCCAGTGCCAGAACTGCCAACACAACCACTTACACATCTATAGGGCTCCAAGTGCAAGGACTGTCACCCCAACTCCTTACACATCTATAGGGCTCCCAGTGCCAGGACTGCCACGCCAACCATTTACACATCTATAGGGCTCCCAGTGCCAGGACTGCCACGCCAACCATTTACACATCTATAGGGCTCCAAGTGCCAGGACTGTCACCCCAACTCCTTACACATCTATAGGGCTCCAAGTGCCAGGACTGTCACCACAACTCCTTACACATCTATAGGGCTCCAAGTGCCAGGACTGTCACCCCAACTCCTTACACATCTATAGGGCTCCAAGTGCCAGGACTGTCATCCCAACTCCTTACACATCTATAGGGCTCCAAGTGCCAGGACTGTCATCCCAACTCCTTACACATCTATAGGGCTCCCAGTGCCGGGAATTCGCTTATTGGTCAAGATTCCTTTCATCATTCACGTAATTTGCCCTTCCTCTCTCGTTTTGACACTTTTCAGAAATCCGAAGCATTTCAGAACTTCGGACATTCATTAGCATCTGAATTGCGTCCGAATGTACGTTTGGAACAAAACTAATTGCACATATTTAGATTTTACTGAAATTTTGGCCTCTTGACTTACTCAGACTTACAAAAGATATTATGGGGAGACGATCTAAGAAGGTTTCGATGTCTAAGGGATCCCAAGATATTGGAGATTTTCTGATGCGAGGTCCAAGTAGGCTGGCAGCTAAAATGCCCCTTGAGGAATCCTCGCTGGAGCCTTAATAATCCTTCCTCTAGTGAGGAAGAAGCAAACCCTCGTATGGAGGGAGATATTAAAGCCCTCCTAGGGAGATCAATCAGCTTCTGTCCACAGGAGTGGACAGGGTCACTTCTTGTGTGCCTCCTGGCAATATTACCACATTTTAAGCTTTTACTGCCTACATCCTGTGAGTGCACAAGATTACTGCGCATGAAATATTGTGTTTTATAACAATATCACACTATGTTTTGTTTTATGCTTTCTCTGTAGATTTACACAGCCATATCCCGAATCTTCTCTGTTTTGGTTTATACTATATATGATATAGGTCGCTTGTTTGGGTAACGACCTAGGGAGGCTGTCATACATCTTTATAAGCTAAGTACTATTGCTTTTTATATTATTTATCAATTGTATATTGTTTGGGATATACTTATAAGTTATAGCTGCCTGAAACCTCTCCACTTCAATTTCTCGGGATGTCCATCAGGCCTACCTTCAGTTTAACCTACGTTCTACAATAGAGTATCAGAGAAGGAGTTGTCTGATGCAGACTAATGGATTTGCTCCTTTTTTCTGTATTCTTCTTCCATTTTATCTTCTCTCTCCCAATAATGCTCTTTCAGATGAGCTGTATTATTTAGGCTTATATCTTTTTAGTAATTGTCCATGGTTACTACAGTGGAACTAACTATGCTATTAATAAACGAGCACAGAGCAATGGATGCGTGTATGGCCCATTCTATCAATAAACGAGCACAGAGCAATGGATGTGTGCATGGCCCATTCTATCAATAAACGAGCACAGAGCAATGGATGTGTGTATGGCCCATTCTATCAATAAACGAGCGCAGAGCAATGGATGTGTGTATGGCCCAGTCTATCAATAAACGAGCGCAGAGCAATGGATGTGTGTATGGCCCAGTCTATCAATAAACGAGCGCAGAGCAATGGATGTGTGTATGGCCCAGTCTATCAATAAACGAGCGCAGAGCAATGGATGTGTGTATGTCCCAGTCTATCAATAAACGAGCACAGAGCAATGGATGTGTGTATGTCCCAGTCTATCAATAAACGAACACAGAGCAATGGATGTGTGTATGTCCCAGTCTATCAATAAACGAGCACAGAGCAATGGATGTGTGTATGTCCCAGTCTATCAATAAACGAGCACAGAGCAATGGATGTGTGTATGTCCCAGTCTATCAATAAACGAGCACAGAGCAATGGATGTGTGTATGGCCCAGTCTATCAATAAACAAGCACAGAGCAATGGATGTGTGTATGGCCCAGTCTATCAATAAACGAGCACAGAGCAATGGATGTGTGTATGGCCCATTCTATCAATAAAAAAAGCACAGAGCAATGGATGTGTGTATGGCCCAGTCTATCAATAAAAAGAGCACAGAGCAATGGATGTGTGTATGGCCCAGTCTATCAATAAAAAGAGCACAGAGCAATGGATGTGTGTATGGCCCAGTCTATCAATAAAACGAGCACAGAGCAATGGATGTGTGTATGGCCCAGTCTATCAATAAAACGAGCACAGAGCAATGGATGTGTGTATGGCCCAGTCTATCAATAAACGAGCACAGAGCAATGGATGTGTGTATGGCCCAGTCTATCAATAAAACGAGCACAGGATGTGTACAGACAGTGTAACGGACCGTTTCAGCACACAAGGGGTTAAAACCGTTTAGGCGATTGTCCCCTTCCAGAGACACAGGCACAGCTACTGCAGAACACCAATCCGCCGAACAGGAAACCATACGAATGCTGTAAACAGCCGAATAGGAAAAACCATACGAATAGGTTTACACTCCTAGCAGTCAAAATGGAACAGCATACAATAAATCCCCCCCAAGAACGAGACAAAGCTCCGTGTTGAGAGTCAAGCAGTGAACAGACAGACCTGTGGGTTTATTATCCTTATATACACATTAGTACCGCCCACAGGGTTTTACACAACAACCAATCATAAACGTACATTACAGAAACACTCCCGGCAATTACACACAAAAATCCTCCCCTCTGCCTGTGATCTAATTATGGCACACAATGCTTAACATAAATTATCACAAGCAGGAAAAATACATTTTTTATACATGTACTATAACTTTAAAACTACACATCCAATCTTCATTATTACATATTATTAATCAGCACACTTTAAACATAAACATAACCAAAAATCAGCCAAATCCATCCAGGGGTTAAAAAGTTAGCTGGAGGTCCCTTTATGACCGACCGCAAGCACATTTTCCTTCCCAAAACAATTCCATAGATCTGGGCTGTGCGGTCGGTCTATTTCAGGCTGAAAAAACGACTAAGTCCCATCGCCGAATCGGACAGTCTCTGCAGCTGTAAAATCAGTATGGGAGAAGGTAGAGCTCAGCGGTGTTCGCGGAAATGTGTAGCCGATTTTAGTTCCATGAATTTGGCTACACATACCGCTGACCTCGTTCGCATTAACAAAGATGGCCGCCGCCACGTGTTCGGCAAACAAACAAAGGCCACCCAGCATTGTCAATTAAGGTGCAGTTAACCGAAGCTTCTGGGAGGTAAATTGCCTGCACACTTCCACTTCTGGGTGGTCTGCCTGTGTGGTACTTGGTTCAGTAATCCCCATTTACTGAACCAAGTGGGAAATAGCCAGGCACAAAGGGTTTGCACCAGGTCTGGGGACACAGGGGACACCGTCTTAAAGGGGCAGTGTCCCAAACAAGTCTGGGGACACCATCTTAAAGGGGCAGTGTCCCAATCTTCCTGATGTCCCAAAAGGTGTTTAAAGGGCCAGCACCAGTCCCATAGAGAATCCATAAGCCACAATATGCCCACTGGCTGTCTTAAAGGGCCATACACACCCAATAAAAGTGGGGGCCATAGTCATGTGCCAGGGGCCATAGTCATGTGGAAGGAGGCTGGCAAATAGGCTTCTCCAATGCAATGTGGCGAGATTGGTCTCGTCACAGACAGTTACACACGGGAGGTACAGACAGCGAGACAGTTACACACGGGAGGTACACACAGCGGGACAGTTACACACTGGAGGTACACACAGCGAGACAGTTACACACTGGAGGTACAGACAGCGGGACAGTTACACACGGGAGGTACACACAGCGGTACAGTTACACACGGGAGGTACACACAGCGGGACAGTTACACACGGGAGGTACAGACAGCGAGACAGTTACACACGGGAGGTACACACAGCGGGACAGTTACACACGGGAGGTACACACAGCGGGACAGTTACACACGGGAGGTACAGACAGCGAGACAGTTACACACGGGAGGTACAGACAGCGGGACAGTTAGACACGGGAGGTACAGACAGCAGGACAGTTACACACGGGAGGTACAGACAGCGAGACAGTTATACACGGGAGGTACAGACAGCGAGACAGTTATACACGGGAGGTACAGACAGCGGGACAGTTACACACGGCAGAAATAGATCATGAGATTTTATGCAGATATCTTTTAATTGGACATTTCATGACACAAACAAAAAAAACAAAAAAAAACACTGTTTAGTAGTTACACCTCCAATGATAACATGTCTGCATTTTATTTAATTAGAGCTATATACAAAGTTTAGTTCCACTGAGCTAAACAAACCAGGAAGTAACAGGACGAGTTGTCTGATTGACAGCCAGGGGGTGTAACAAGGTTAATTTATAAAAGTGACAAGTGCACTTATTGTAAAGGATAAAAAGACTCTTCACTCCTTCAGCAAGGTAAAGTGCTTTAGGGGTCTGTAATGTCCTTTTAATTCATGAGAAAAACAGCATTAGATCCATTTAAAGCAGCAGGAGTTATGGGGATAAGGTACAGTCTCATGGTTAGAGCACACTGTCAGTCATTCCTGTATATCCCCTACATCCTTGTCCAGGTACCATGCTTCCCATACCTGTTACCCTGCTGGTACAGCTGTACCCACTAACCTGCTGGCTCAGTAGCCCAGGTGGCCACACTGTACAGGAGGAGTCCCAGGAGGATGCAGACTGTACTCATAGTGTCTGAGCAGGTATGTCTCCTGACTGGGACTCAGAGACACTAAACCCAGAGCAGGGAGGGACCATCCAAAAACATGAAGCAATAACTGCAGCACAAATAAGGCTTATTAGTTCTATTACTGCCATATTAACCCCATCAGTGCCCAGGGCAGGCAGAGTAACATTGCCTGGAACCTAATTATTAACCCCAACTCTACCAGAAACCTACTCCTTAACCCAATCACTGCCAGGAACATTATTATTAACCTCAACCCTGCCAGAAATCTACTCCTTAACCCAATCACTGCCAGGAACCTAATTATTAACCGCAACCCTGCCAGAAATCTACTCCTTAACCCAATCACTGGCAGGAACATATTATTAACCCCAACTCTACCAGAAACCTACTCCTTAACCCAATCACTGCCAGGAACATATTATTAACCCCAACTCTACCAGAAACCTACTCCTTAACCCAATCACTGCCAGGAACATAATTATTAACCCCAACCCTGACAGAAACCTAGTCCTTAACCCAATCACTGCCAGGAACCTAATTATTAACCCCAACCCTGACAGAAACCTAGTCCTTAACCCAATCACTGCCAGGAACATATTATTAACCCCAACTCTACCAGAAACCTACTCCTTAACCCAATCACTGCCAGGAACATAATTATTAACCCCAACCCTGACAGAAACCTAGTCCTTAACCCAATCACTGCCAGGAACCTAATTATTAACCGCAACCCTGCCAGAAATCTACTCCTTAACCCAATCACTGCCAGGAACCTAGTTCTTAACCCCAACTCTGCCAAAAATGTACTCCTTAACCCAATCACTGGCAGGAATCGAATTATTAACCCCAACTCTGCCAGAAATCTACTCCTTAACCCAATCACTGCCAGGAACATATTATTAACCCCAACTCTACCAGAAACCTACTCCTTAAACCAATCACTGCCAGGAACATAATTATTAACACCAACTCTGCCAGAAATCTACTCCTTAACCCAATCACTGCCAGGAACATAATTATTAACCCCAACCCTGACAGAAACCTAGTCCTTAACCCAATCACTGCCAGGAACATATTATTAACCCCAACTCTACCAGAAACCTACTCATTAACCAAATCACTGCCAGGAACCTAATTATTAACCCAAACTCTGTCAGAAATCTACTCCTTAACCCAATCACTGCCAGGAACCTAAATATTAACCACAACTCTACCAGAAATCTGCTTCTTAACCCAATCACTGCCAGGAGCCTAATTATTAACCCCAACTGTGCCAGAAATCTATTCCTTAACCCAATCACTGCCAGGAACCTAATTATTAACCCCAACTCTGTCAGAAATCTACTCCTTAACCCAATCACTGCCAGGAGCCTAATTATTAACCCCAACTCTGCCAAAAATCTACTCAACCCAATTATTGCCAGGAACCTAATTAACCCCAACTCTGCCATACATCTACTCCTTAACCCAATCACTGCCAGGAACCTCATTATTAACCCCAACTCTGCCAGAAATCTACTCCTTAACCCAATCACTGCCAGGAACCTAATTATTAACCCCAACCCTGCCAGAAATCTACTCCTTAACCCAATCACTGCCAGGAACCTAATTATTAACCCCAACCCTGCCAGAAATCTACTCTTTAACCCAATAACTGCCAGGAATAGGAATAATAATCCATTACTGTCAGGAATTGACAGCTTAACCCCCTTACTGCCAGGAACCATGATATTCACACGTTTACTGCCAGGAATCTACACATTAAAGGTACAATCCAAACATCTAAAGAGCTTTAGAGAGTGTGTCCTCTTTTTAATTTTAGAGAGTGCAGATTTCAATAGAAATTGGCAGTTTTAAAAAGCCTTGTTACACCCTTAACAGCCTTGTTAATTTGGGAACAATTTATGCAGCCATAATCTGATCCTGTCCTGTTAGAGCTGATATTTTTTGTTTTTTTGCATAATACTGAACAGAAAACTGTAAAACACATTACAGTAGATATGGTGGAAATACCATATGTGCCTAGAAATTCCATAATATTCTGATACATAATAGAAGGAGCGCCTGTTCAAAATTCTGGATACCCTTCGTTCTTAATACTATGTATTGTCCCCTTTAGAAGTAATGACAGCGTGTAGTCTTTTGTAATAGTTTTCTATGAGGCCAGAAGAATGCAAGTTGTCTGCCAGTATTTTCCAATAACATGTTGCCATCAATTTTCCCAAGATTCCCCGTGCCTTTACAGCTCACACACTCCCAAAACATCAGTGAGCCACCACCATGCTTCACAGTGGGGATGGTATTCTTTTCACTATCGGTCTTGTTGACCCCTCTCCAAACATAACATTTATGGTTGTGACCATAAAGCTCTATTTTGGTCTCGTCACTCCAAATTACAGTGTGCCACAAGCTGTGAGGCATGTCAACAGCAGTGTGCCACAAGCTGTTGGGCATATTGTAACCAGGCTTCTTGTGGCATTGGCGCAGTAAAGGCTTCTTTCTGGCAACTCGACCATGCAGCTCATTTTTGTTCAAGTTACCTGTGGGTTTTTCTTTGTATCCTGAACAATTCTTCTGGCAGTTGTTGCTGAAATCTTTCTTGGTCTACCTGACCTTGGTTTGGTATCAAGAGATTCCAGAATTTTCAACTTCTTAATAAGTGATTGAACACTACTGACTGACATTTCAAGGCTTTTGATATCTTTTTATACCCTTTTTCATCTTTATAAAGTTCCATTACCTTCTTACGCAGGGCTTTTGACAGTTCTTTTCAGACATGTGCAATTCGTTTCGGTCTGAATTTAAATTTGGATGAATTTTGGCAATTCAGACATTCGGATGCTTCCACATATCCAAAGTGCCGAATTGCCGAATTTCAGAAGTGCCGAAATGCTTCGAATTTCTGAAAAGTGGCAAAACAGGAGAGGGAGGGAAAATTAAGGGAATGATGACCGGAATCTAGCCCTACTACTAGCCCTAACCCTACCCCTAACCTTCCTCTAACCCTAACCCCTACCCCAACCTACCCTGTAACCCTAACCCTACAATTAACCCTTAACCCCCTAGGGTTAGGGGTATGAGTAGGGCTGGGGGTTAGGGAATTTCGGAAGTCCCGAACTGAACCAATTTGTATGCCCATGCACATCTCTTGTTCTTTTCTGCTCCCCATGGCTGAGTATCTAGCCTGCTCAGTGCATCCACATAAGAGTGCCACATCCTGCTCTGTTCTGTGGAGATGTCTGGCCTTGGCATCTGGTATCCAGTACTCATTTTACAATTCTTGTTTAGTTTTTCTTGTTTTTTTCTGGTTTTCTAGTCTATGTCTGGTTTTCTTTATTGCTGGGATTTCTGGGTTCATTCCTGTAATCCATCCCTGGGATTCCCAGTCTCCAGGTTTCCTTTAAATGTTTGTTTTATGTTGCCACACCCGTTTGTTTTCCATCATTCCCTTTGTTTCAGAGTTCCTGCAGGCAGGTGCTCAAGGCTTCTGCCCTTTCTTGCAGGTAAGTGCTATTGTGGTTTAGTATGGTTATTTTAGCGAACATTAGGCAGTGTAGGAGCTGCCAGATATGGGGTACATTGGTGTTGTGGCAATATACATTGCATACATTGCATACATTGAGGACTATTCATGGGTTTGGTTCATGCGAACGGCCGCCAGAGATCCAGCTTTCGGTTACATTCACATGAAGGGAAAGTGCCGAACCAGGGGCACCCAGGGAAAGTTGCTAATGGCGGCTGGGAAGGGTAACTCCCAAACAGTGTCCCAGACCTGGACCATAGTCGGTGGGCAGGAGTCCGTGGCAAACGTACGTGGAAAGGAGCATTTTTCACACAATATATTTGTGATATTGGTATATATTTGTGTTATCAGTATATACTTGTTATAGTAACAGTATAAATGAAGCCATTGTTTCAGTAATCTTAGTGCCCTATGGGGCTTCGTTCCAACCTTGTCACTAATTTTTAGCAACCAGACGCAAAAATAGAAATGTCTTACCACAGATACAGGGTTAGAGACGCAGAGAACCAGATAGAATGCTACAGATGTATCATTATAGATGTAGTGTTATAGACACATTGTAACAGATACAGTGTTATGGATGCAGTGGTATAGATAGTGTTATAGATGTAGTGTTGTCACAGATACGGTGTTGTCACAGATACGGTGTTATAGATGTAGTGTTTGTTATTGGTGTAGTAGTGTTATTGGTGTAGTGTTATTAGTGTTATAGATGTAGGGGTTAACAGATACTTTGTTATATATGTAGTATTAGTGTAGTAGTGTTATAGATGTAGTGATGTTACAGATAAAATTTTTTATAGTTGTAGTGATGTTCGTGTAGTGCTGTTGTAGATGTAGTGTTTGTTATTAGTGTGGTAGTATTATAGATGTAGTGTTAAAGATGTAGTGTTATTAGTGTTGTCGTGTTATAGATGTAGTGATGTTACAGATTTTTTTTTATAGTTGTAGTGCTGTTATAGATGTAGTGTTAGATGCGGCTAAGGTGCTGGCCTATGCTCTTGTTCTCTCTCGCCTGGACTACTGCAATACTCTTCTCAGTGGTCTTACGTGTTTCCAGATTGCATCGCTGCAATCTATAATGAATGCGCCGGCGAGGCTCATTTTCCTGTCCGCCCACACCTCTCACGCCTCCCCGCTCTGTCAGGCCCTTCATTGGCTTCCAGATAGATATAGGGCTCACTTTAAAATTCTGGTGCTTGCTTACAAGTCCCTACATAATGCTGCTCCAACCTACCTATCCTCCCTAATACACAAGTATGTCCCGTCGAGGGCCCTACGCTCTGCCAAAGACCTACGTATATCTTCTGTCCGTACACCCACCTCTAACGCTCGCCTCCAAGACTTTTCCAGGGCTGCACCTCTTCTGTGGAACTCCCTTCCCTTCTCCGTAAGAATTTCACCCAGTCTCCACTAATTCAAAAAATCATTGAAAACTCACTTCAAGAAAGCATATCAATTAAACTGTTAGCAGGTTTTCATCCCCCACCCTCCATGACTCCTCCCCTGCAACTGTCAAAAATTACCTACTAAGCCCTCATTTAATATTTTTCTAACAACCTACTTCGTACCCCTACTTTTACCCTTTGTGTCACTAAACCCCACTCCCTCTAGAATGTAAGCTCATGGAGCAGGGCCCTCCACCCCTCTGTTCCTGTACGTCCAGTTGTCTGGTTACAATTACATGTCTGTTAGTCCACCCATTGTACAGCGCTACAGAGTCTGATGGCGCTATATAAATAATAATTAGTGTAGTGTTGTTATAGATGTGGTTAGTGTAGTAGTGTTATAGATGCAGTGGTGTTACAGATACAGTGTTATAGGTGTAGTGGTGTTATAGGTGTAGTGGTGTTATTGGTGTAGTGATGATACAGTGTTATAGGTGAAGTGTTAGTGTAGTGGTACAGATACAGTGTTATCGATGAAGGGGTGTTATCGGTGTAGTGTTATTAGTGTAGTGGTGTTACAGATACAGTGTCAGATGTAGTGGTGTTACAGATACAGTGTTATAGGTGTAGTGTTATAGATGCAGGGTCACCATCAGGGCATGACAACTATAACGGTTGTCATGGGCCCAGCGGTCCTGAGCGGCCCGGACTGCTCTGGGAGTCCCAGGCCCCACATTTCATATGTGCACATATAGATAGTGATCTCTCGCTATCTATATGTTCACCTCTGGCCTGTACAATGTAGACGGGGGCCAGCCAGCACTATCTTAACTCTCCAGCAGCTCCTGTGCCTGTAACTTCTGCAAGCTCCGCGGCCGGCAGAGCGTTGTCACAGGTTACCATGTAACGGCAGAGCATTGTCACGGGTTACAGGAGTTTCTGTTTCCTGTAACCGGCGGACTGAAAGGAAGTGCACACTGAGTGTGCACCTTCCTATCATTCCGGCCGGGCACCGCGGACCGGAGAGGAGCTCGGCCACGCTACAGGGGAGGGGAGGAGCAGCCGTTAAAGGGCCGGCAGGTGTAGTGGTGTTACAGATAGAGTACACAGAGAGATTTCCAAGATACATCCTCTCCACTTCTGATAAATAAACCCAGTCAGTCAATATCTCTGTGACTCAGACCGGGCTGGGAAGGAGTTAAGCAAGAATCGAGTACATGGAGTCTTGTTTATAATTCACCTATTGCTACAAGCTATTACACAGACACAAATATTACACAATGACAACATATTGGGACATGTGTGGGATCACCAGCCCAAGGCGGCAAACTGATAACCAGGTCACCAGGCAGCAAAACTAAACAAACTTCTGTTAGTTACCCACGATGCTTTGTGTAATGACAGACAAAGGTTTTGGAATTAAGGTCCTCTTTGCCGTAACCGACTGCCTTTTATTGTTGAGACGATGGCTGTAGTAAACTCATACGTAGCATTTCCCGTAGAAATTAAAGGGAACCTCTTGTAGCAATCTGTTTCCACTCGCTAGACACAGGGTCTCCCAGTTCTGTTCCAGTGGGGATACTGACTGCACCTGGAGTGTTGGGGTGCCTCGAGGATGAGGGAATCCCCGCAATAGAATAAATTTAAATATGGATGCTATGTTAGAATGTGACATCATGTGCTGGCTCAGAAACGCTGTCATGAGAGTAACTGGAGGAACAAGCTGTAATGTCTCAGCCACTTCATGGTTGGGGCAGCGGGTGGGTAAGTCCATAGAGCTGCTCAAAGCCATTAACATTAAAAAAAAAAAAAAGGTTTATTTTCTTCTTATCATGCAGAATATTATGTGATCTCACTGTGCACCGCCACGGCCTATGCCTTCTTCTGCTAAATACTGTGTTTGCATGTCAGGGATTGCATTAATAAACTGAATAAAATGTGGTATTTTAATCTGTATTGTACCCAATTGTTCATGTGCATCTAAAAATAAGATTATAGTTAACTAGAGTTGAAAGAACCCGGACTGTAAAATTCGGGTTCGTACCGAACACTATGTTTTCTGGACCCCGGACCCGAACATGGACATATCACTGTACGTTAGGATTGGAGTTCGGTGTTCAGCGATTTAATGGCACGTTTTAAAAGGCTGCAGGGCAGCCAATCAACAAGCGTTTGACTCGTGTGCCCTTAGAAGCCATCACAGCCATGCCTACTAATGTGACCCAGCCTCTATATATAAGATGGAGTCGCGTAGCGCTGCACGCACATGAGCTCTTATTAGTGTAGGGAAAGGATGCTGCAGCTGATAGGGACAGATTAGGAAATAATTCTGCAAACTAATACATTAGTGGGGTGCACTTTATATCTTAGAGTCAAAGAGAAGCATCAAATACCGCGGTTACATCAGAGTTTTAAAAAGTCACTTTTTTTCATGCTAAACTGCTAAATAGTAAATTTGGGCCCTGCACTTCATATCTGAGCATCAAATAGAAGCGTCAAATACTGTGGTTTCAGTGCAGTTGCAAAAATTCTAATTGTTTTGGGTGCTAATGCTAAATAGTACATTTACGTCCTGCGGTGCACTTCATATCTGAGAGTCAAATAGAACCGTTAAATACTGTGCTTTCAGCGCAGTTTGACAAATTCAAATTTTTTTGGGTGCTAAATAGTACATTTGCGGCCTGCACTTCATTTCTGACAGTCAAATAGAACCGTAAAATACCAATAACACAATATTGTAATTCGGGGGCAATAACCTCACAAATCAAACTGAGTGGTCAGTTTATAGGGAAAACTGTGGTCTGGATACAATTCTAAAACAATTCCCATATGTCCTTTGCAGAGTTTACATGCTGGAAAAACACAGGTGCCAACTGCTGTGGCTTTCTGCAGTGTGCAGACCGGCAAGGAGGGCAGGGTTGAGGAGTGGGTGGAGGATGATGTGGAGGTTGATGAGGTCAAGTGCAGCCAAGCATTGCTCTCCTATTGTGGTCACATGGTAAATATTGTAACAAAGCGTGACCTGATCAGGGATATTCTACAATCAGAGCGCTAGAGAATCCTTTAATAAATCACATAAACATACAGTGTCTTACAAACGTATTCACCCCCTTTGGCATTTTTTCGTGTTTTGTTGCCTCACAACTTGGAATTAACATGGATTGTTTGAGGATTTGCATCATTTAATTTACCCCACATGGAATCAAGGTCATGCGAGTGACCTGTGCAGTTTGGAGGAAGAGGCGCTGGTCGCACAGAGGCGCCAACACAGCATAAGAGGGAGCAGGGTGCAAAAGCGGAGCAGCCGTCCCCTAGCGCTCGTCGGCATGTATTAGCTTGAGAATTACCAGTTATCCAAGTAACAGATGCAGCGATCAAAGGATCCATGTTCGGGTTCGTACCAGATTTAACGAGCCGTTCAAAGTTTAACATTGAGGGCAGCAGTCCGGTGACCGGGACCCAGTATGCCTGATGTTGAAGTTAGGAGTCAGTGTGAAATGGATTAGCAGGGTCTGGTGCAGGGTAACAGCACGCCCCCTGGTGTTGAGCACCAGTGTTTGTGCAGCCACATACCAGGACCCTGATGCAGCTTCAGTATAAAGAGTACTGGATACCAGAAGCCATCACCAGACTGATCCGCAACTTGGAACTTCACTGTAGCGGCTGTGCGCGCTTTCGGCGTTCTCACCCTGCTGCTGCTCGCCTGTCTGCGCTGCCTCGTAACTTTTGCCTTCCCGCTCACCGCCTCATATGCGACATGCCCACAAGGTGGAACTCCACCTTGCACATGCTGGAGAGGCTGTGCGAGCAGCAGCAGGCGATTGTGGAGTTTCAGCTGCAGGACGCACGGGTCAGTCGCTCTCCACCAGACTTGCCCTCCAATTGATCATAGTTAAAGAATTTCAAGTGGGCTCATTACAATTACAGGGCTTCTAGAGAGTCCTGTATTGTTATTTGTCGTCACTACCTTCCCCGCATCGGGAGTGGGTCATTTGCGCGCCTGCTGCCTTCCTTGCATGTGGTAGCCGTTTCTCAGGCTCCCTCTCAGGAATCGACCCTGATTCCCTGTTACCCGTGGTCACCATGGTAGGCGCAGTAAATGGCATTAAAAGTTGGTATAGATGACATACGAATGCGTCGTCGCCTTTTCGTTGGGGAGCCCATTGAAAAAGTGCTCTAGCATGACGAGCTGGGTGATCTCCTCTGGGAACTTGGCTTGATGGGAGTTGAGCCAGTTCTGGGTGGCCCTTGTGATTCCTTCTCCCCTTTCCAGGTCTCCCTAAACTTTCGGCGGTATTGCTCGGGGGTGACCGCATACCGGGCCAGGAGGATTTGTGTAATAAAGGGATAGTCTCTGATCTGCTCTTCTGGTACAGCCCGGTAAATATCCGCTGCCTTCCCCACTAGTTTGCTGGCCAGGATGGTGACTCAGTCGCTGGGGTCCACGTCTTGGAGTAGGCACTGGCGCTCAAAGTCTTGTAAAAAGTCATCGATGCCTTCTTCTGCTTCCTTTTGAAGGCATTGTATGGTAGCTTGTGGGCCAGGGTGGTTGTGATCTGCTCCCTTCTTCGTTCATCTGGGTTCATGGAGGTAGCCCTCTGTGTATTGGCAAGGACATAGGCTTGCAGCTCCAAAAAGGTCCTGCTGACAATCTCCTCTGAGGGTGGCTCTCGGTAATATGCCAGGCGCCATTACACCTCCTTGTGCACTTCCTCCTCATCTACGACCCCTGGCTGGGGTTCGTTGCCTCACTGCATGCCTGGTCGTCCTTCATGAGCGCAGCAGTCAATTCGGCCTTGTTACGCTGCTCAACTCTATATAGTTAACACTTTTTGAGGTCAACCCATGGAGACAACAATTACTGGCCTGTCCCTTTAACCCCTTAAGGACACATGGCATGTGTGACATGTCATGATTCCCTTTTATTCCAGAAGTTTGGTCCTTAAGGGGTTAAAAGTATGATTTTGATTGAGCAAAACATAATTTAGAGCTCAATATGAATAGGTGTGAATGGGGCGAAGTTCACATGATAAAAACATTATGAAGAGTCTAAACTGAACACTATATTGGGGCGACTGTCAAAGATTGTGCGCAGGACTAGAATGAGTTTCAACCTGAACTGTTCTAACGTTTGCTGGTAAATTACAAAATCGCAGGGTGTGTCCTAATTCGCTCACATTGTCTGTAAAACAAGCTGTCAATTCTTATTTTTGGGTGCAAACATGTTTGATGCTCTTCAGATTGTGCCCCAGGCCACGGCACCTACTGTGCTGGGATCTTCCAGGAAGAATGGAAAAACTGGTTTTTAGTAAAAGCACCGACCCAAACTATGATTCCTCTCTGAAATTAAAGGGACATCAGCTAAACATGCTGACCCCGTCCTTGTAAACCGGAGCCATCTCATGTTTACTTTCTACCTAAACCTTGTCTCTCGCGCCCAGGCTTACAGCCACTAGAGAGGCTTCTTCATATTCTCAAATGTCTTCAGCAGGAATCCAGACCTTTCTAGTTACACACACACAATCACATTAAAACAAGAGCACACTAGTTTATCAGGAGTTTGGTGGACACTATTTTGGGAGGAGGGTAGTAAGAAGGTTTAAGAGGGTTAATTGCCTAACTGGCTTTGCTAAGCTCATCCACATCACTTATTTAAATAAAATGTAAGGAACCATTGCCTGCAAGAATCGCAGTCTATGTATTGTAAGACGAACCAGTATTACGATGATCTGGCATAATATCAGCGTTTGTCCAAGTGCAGCCAAGCATTGCTCTCCTATTGTGGTCACATGGTAAATATTGTAACAAAGCGTGACCTGATCAGGGATATTCTACAATCAGAGCGCTAGAGAATCCTTTAATAAATCACATAAACATACAGTGTCTTACAAACGTATTCACCCCCTTTGGCATTTTTTCGTGTTTTGTTGCCTCACAACTTGGAATTAACATGGATTGTTTGAGGATTTGCATCATTTAATTTACAGAACATGCCCACAACTTTGAAGATGTTTTTTGTTTTTTTTTTAATTTTGAAGCAAACATCAAATAGGACAAAATAACAGAAAAATTCAATGTGCATAACTCTTCATCCCCCCTAAAATCAATACTTTGTAGAGCCACCTTTTGCAGCAATCCCAGCTCTAAGTTGCTTTGGATAATTCTCTATGAGCTTTCCACATCTTATCACTGGGATTTTTGCCCATTCCTCCTTGCAAAACTGCTCCAGCTCCTTCAAGTTGGATGGTTTGGGCTGGTACAGGTTTTGCTCAAGAATATCCCTGTATTTAGCACCATCCATCTTTCCCTCAACCCTGACCAGTTTCCCAGTCCCGGCTGCTGAAAAACATCCCCACAGCATGATGCTGCCACCACCATGTTTCACTGTGGGGATGGTGTTCTTTGGGTGATGTGATATGTTGGGTTTGCGCCAGACATAGCGTTTTCTCTGATGGCCGAAAAGTTCAATTTTAGTCTCATCAGACCAGAGCACCTTCCTCCATACATTTTGGGAGTCTCCCACGTGCCATTTTGTTTTTTGCTGAAAGTAATGGCTTTCTTCTGGCCACTCTGCCAAAAAGCCCAACTCTCTGGAGCATATGGTTTATTGTCATCCTATGTACAGATACTTCAGCCTCTGCTGTGGAACTCTGCAGCTCCTCCAGGGTTACCTTAGGTCTCTGTGCTACCTCTCTGATTAATACCTTCCTTGCCCGCTCCGTGAGTTTTGGTGGGCGGCCGTCTCTTGGCAGGTTTGCTGTTGTGCCATGTTCTTTCCATTTGGTTATGACAGATTTGATGGTGCTCCTGGGGACCATCAAAGATTTGGATATTTTTGCATAACCTAACCCTGACTTGTACTTCTCAACAACTTTGTCCCTTACTTGTTTGGAGAGTTCTTTGGTCTTCATGGCAGTGTTTGGTTAGTGGTGCCTCTTGCTTAGGTGTTGCAGCCACTGGGGCCTTTTAAAAAAGGTGTGTATGTAATGACAGATCATGTGACACTTAGATTGCACACAGGTGGACATCATTTCACTAATTATGTGACTTCTGAAGGTAATTGGTTGCACCAGAGCTTTTTATGGGCTTCATAACAAAGGGGGTGAATACATACGCACATGCCAATTTTCTGTTTTCTATTTCTAAAAAATAGTTTTATGTATATATTGTTCTCATTTCACTTCACCAACTTAGACTATTGTGTTCTGATCCATCACATAAAATTCAAATTAAAGGGAAACTCCAGTGCCAGGAAAACAATGCATTTTCCTGGCACTGCAGGTCCCCTCTTCCTCCGACTCCCCAATCCCCAGTGAAAACCCCTTCAGTTACTTACCAGAGGCCACGACATGTCCCACATCACTGCTTCTCCCTCCGCCGCCGCTCCTCCCAGTGATGCCGCGCATTAGAGCTCCCCATAAGAAAGCATTGAAAATGCTTTTCAATGCTTTCCTATGGGGAAATGAGTGACGCTGGAGGTCCTCACACAGAGGATGTCCAGCGACGCTCTAGAACAGGTTTTCTGTGCTATGATGCAGGAAGTAGACAGCCACTAGAGGTGGAGTTAACCATGCAAGGTAATTATTGCAGTTTATAAAAATAATTACATTTGCAGGGTTAAGAGTAGTGGGAGATGGCACCCAGACCACTCCAATGGGCAGACGTGGTCTGGGTGCCTGGAGTGTCCCTTTAATAAAGGCTGTAATGTAACAAAATAGGTAAAAATTCAAGGGGGTGAATACTTTTGCAAGGCACTGTATATACTTTGTGGTTTAGTCCTCTATTCAGTCACTACAGCTGGAAATTACCCTGCATTTAACCCTTTTACAAGCAGTATTTATAATATAAATAAAAGCAGATGCTGTAGTTGCTGTGATCCTCTGGCTAAAGCTTATCGTGCATTGGCAGAACTATACAGAATTGATCTGATAGATGTCACTATGTTCTATGTTTGATATTATCAGTCTGGTCAACATATCATTGTCATGGTTGATAGCGACCCTTGTTTGGGAAGCTCCGCCAATCAGAGCCAATAGATTCGGAGAGGGCAGGTATAGGAGAGACTGGGGTTAGTGTTAGATTAGTGTAAGACCTACGAACATGTCCCAATGGCTGCACCGCCGGCCTTGGAGAATAAGAAAAGCCAGGATTAGTCTGAGTTTTCAGGTTCCAATAATCTCAATGTTTTATGATTTATGGGGTTGAAAGTTAGCAGGGCCAACATTTAGGAGTTCAAGTAAATGATTTAGGAGTTTATAGGATTGAACGTATACATTTCCAAAAACATGCCGTTTGAATGGTAGTGAAAATCTGGTGTGACGTTAAGATGTATTAGAGTTGAGTGTAGAATATTGCATATTCTATGTTTCTATTGATTATTTATGGATATGTGGATTGACATAACTAACAGATGTAACACAAGGCTTTCTTTGTATGAGAGCTCTGGAATGTAAGCTGGGGGTTTTGTCCTTATAGGGATAGAGTTATGCTCTGACGTCAGTATGGGCACTTCTATATAGTAACTGAACAAAGAGACACGAGGTCTCTGGCTCTCTCGATGTAAGGATGTAACTCTCCCGTCAGGAGTCCAGCAATTACCATCTGCTGTTGAATGTCCATTATCCTGTAACATCATTTGTTTTATTATGTATTAGTAACTAAGAATAAACCTGAAGGAACCGTAAGTCAGATTGCATATTAGTACTTTTCATTAATATAAACATATATTAATGTGGCCAGCATTTGGCCCAAGAATATATATATATATACAAAAGACGTGTGTGTGTGTGTGTGTGTGTGTGTGTGTATGTGTGTGTGTATATATAGCAATCAACTGAAGACAAGAAGAAATTAAGAAGATTAAACATTGACGATTCCAGACAGTTTTTACATTGGCTAGCCAGCCAGTCTTCTATTCAAGTTTTTTTCCCACTTCAAGGGGGGGGAGAGAGAAG